AATGAATGATTTGTGCACATGGTATATGCAACAGTATTATTTTATATTGGTTACGTGGTGGATGTTGTGCTCTTTCTCTCTCGTGAACATACAAAAAATACTTGTGCTTCATGACAATATAAAAGCGTTTTTTAGTCCTTGTGTAGAATTTGGTCACTTGAACCATGAAAAGAAACAATAACGTGTTTGGTAGTGATGAAGGCGGGTGTGTTGAGTCTGTGTTGAGTTCAGTATGCGTGTGCGCGCTTAGATATGTGTGTTGCCGAGAATATAGTGTCAAACAGCTGTGTGGACTGTCTTGTCGCGAAATGCGGCTAGAAGTCCTACATGATGATAATAGTTTGAACGCGGCGTTTACTGTACTGCACTTTAATAATGCGGCTTTCTGCACATCTCACTGCAGTAAGAAAAAAAGCGGTTACGTCACACCCACCCACCCAATCGAGGTTCATGTGCATCACAGAGGCCAGCCTTATCAGGTGTATGCAAAGCACTTGATTTGCAGTTCAAATTCAATCCTGCTTCCAATCTTCCTTGCTAATTTTACCCTCACACTCCATCATGCTAACATCTTAACTCACAAGACAACTTTTTACCTCGACGAGAAATTTCTTCACCATTTAATCTCGCGAGATCTTGTGACACCCTTAAAATTAAGAGTTAATTTTAAGGTTTCTCGCGGCCCACCTGCAGGATTGCAGAGGCCCATCCGCTGCGTAAAAACTTGCTGGATAAGTTGGCGGTTCATTACGCTGTGGCGACCCCAGATTAATAAAGGGACTAAGCCGACAAGAAAATGAATGAATGAATAGTGCTTGTTCTGTAGCTAACAATGCTGATTCGTCAGCTACTAGTACCATTTTAAAATATGGTTCGTTCATTTAGGCTAGTATTAAATAGATAATAGATTTATTCAATTCAAAATATGTAAATATTAAATATAAAATTTTTTTAGCTCCATTCAATAAATGGTTATAATTTTTAAACGCAGAAACATGCCTTTTAAATATAAAGAGATTAGCTTGACTTAAGATGAATAAATATATAAAAATAAATAGATCAACAATAGATCTATTCAATGGTGAATATGTGTTAATTGGATATTGGTAGATTTTAAATACTAGTACTTGAAAAAATGATTTTTGCTGCTTGTTCAAGCTACTTATGAGAAATGAGCTAAATCAACACAATTCTTGAGTCTTTTTAGAACAACTTAATTGTTTTATGCTCAATCTACTTAAGTTTGTCTAAATAATTACATTAAAGGGGCTGTATGTAGGTTTTGGACTCTTCTAAAGCATGAAAACACCATAATAAGTTTGCAGACATTTAAGAAAAATGCAAAGTGAACTTTCTCGTTAATCTGAAAAGCAATGCTGAAGTCAGATATTCTGCTTTGAAAATGTGTTTTCCATGCTGGAATGTCTGTCTTTGTTTTGGTCATTTTAACCCACCCAATGCCAGTTTAGCCGATTATATTTCAGCACCCCGAGTTGCCTTGGCGGAAAACCGTGTATTTCATTCATTCAGAAAGGCTCTGAAGTTATGCGTCAGTGACCGAAATGCAACCTCCGGTGGACAGTAGCAGACTCTGAAATGAGATGCAGATTCAGTTCCACATAAGGTTATTGATTAGCAAATGATATAAATATTACTAGCGTAAACATTAGGTGAGCAGGTTACATTGTAACAACATAACAACACGCTACGTGATGAGATTTGCAGTGATAAGCAATTTGGCTGTTTTCACTAGTCGAAACACTACGGAAATTTAAATAAAGCCATTCAGAAGCTCAGAATATGCACTCATTCACAAAATAGCAAGGTTTATTATCTATTTAATAAATATTAACATTATTAAATGTACATGCTGAATCACTCATATGAGTTTAATGTTAAAGTTCAAGTTTCAAATGGTTTCATTTATTTTCAAGATCTGAGGTGAACTATCCGCTGCTGCTTTCAGTATTATGGCAATACATGTCATGTAAAATGGCTTTAAAACTCACATTGTTAGCATTTAACACTGAATAATCCACATAAGATTAACCTGAGGTGAACTTTGTCAATTTTCTGTTGTTCACCTGTGAAAAATAGATGTTATTTCTAGTATATCAATTTAAGGTGTTGGTTCCTTTTAGTATTGAAAATATTCCTTCTATAGGGTGATTTTGCTTTTATTTAGAACATAATTTAAATCACTCGCTCCTGTCTTCAATGGCAACCTGCATTTGCATTTGTTTTGATCCAGGCATGCAATACCTAATTCAACCACTTGGTGTCAAACCTACATACTGAACATTTAACTTAATCGATTTGTGTTGGGACAACATGAAGGAATTGTGTGGAACCCAACACTTTTTACAGTGGAAAAACTACACTGTGTATTTAAAGTGTATTTAAAATTCTAATAAATACTAGTACTTAGTCAATAGATACTAGTTATTGGTACTAGCTATAATAATTTGTAACTATTCTAGTGTTACTATAGTAACTGTAGTATATTTACTGTAGATTGTATTTTTAGATCATTGTTTCTGACAAGTTTGTTTCTTGAACAGGTCGACATTAAAAAATTAAAGGTGCATACCTTTAAAAAAACTTGGATATTCCAACCCATTTATTGTCCATTTTGTCAAATTAAAAAAGTAAACATCAAAATATAAACCCGTTCATGACGGTCAAAAAGTTTGTTTGACCTTCTTCTACTCCCCCTAGATCATCTCTAGGAGAACAGAAATACATTATACACTCTCTAGTTGTGTGAAAAAAAATTACATCCCATAAATGGCTCTTACAAGTTTTTTTTTTTTTTTAGTTTAACCTTTAAATAATAAACAGGCATTTTCAACCTTCATTGTAAACATATATAACATAATATCCAAGCAGCATACAATAAACAAAGTAGTACAAAAGAATAATAATAATAATAATAATAATAATACTACTACTAATAATAATAATAATAATTACATATATAAACCTTAAAAATTACAAAAGAAAATACATTACATTCAGGTGATAACATTTTTGCAATTCAGCAGTTTTGCAGTTGCAGTTCTTCAATCTAAAAACTGTAGTACATATGTCCATGTTACTAGTATACTAGTATTTTATGCACAAGTGCTTATTCTTTAGTTCTAGTTCTATTTGAAAAATATGTATACTTACGCTTATTCAATAAATACTACAACTTCCATTTCCACTACCACTACGACTACTACTACTACTACTACTACTACTAGTCAAAAAAAAAAAACTATAAAAATAAGTGCACAAAATATATATTTATGAAAATATATATTGGTATAGGTTTTGAATCAAGTTTAAATGTGCATTTTTAAATTGACATCTGTTGGTATCTGTAATTAAGATACTAGATACTACTACTATATGCTTGATACCGGTACTTAATCATTAGATACTAAAGCTTATTTACTAGTTACAGTAATCCTACATTTTAAATCAGTAAAAGTTTATATGTTTATTAGATACTAAAGGCATGTGTACCTGTTCTTGTCAACATTGTACTAGTAAGTCATACTCCAGTAGTCAATACTAGTACGATTTGTATATTCAGGGTTAAAATGCCACATGCAGTTCCTTGTGAATTCTTTCCATCATCTCTCACTCTCTCTCTCTATTGCTCGCTCCCTCCTTGATCGTTAAAAGCAGCATCTAATGCTTCCTTCATGCGGACTGGTTTAGTTGTTGTGGTGATTGCAGAGATGTCTTTGCCGAGCAGACAGCTGTTTGCCTAATGGCCCTTTCCCATAGTGAGCGGTGAAGGCCACAGTGCTGCCTTCAGATGCAAAGACGTATTGCTTATTCATCAAAAATAATATTCGAAGAGTCTGTCTCACATTCACTGTTTAAAGACTGCTTAATGCTTCCATTTAATTACATTAGCAATGCATCTATTTAAATAGTCGTTTTGATTTTTGAGATCAAACATAGCACCTGGCTTTGCTCTGTAGTTACAATGGAAGTGTGCTTGTCAATTCTGTGGTATTATCCTGTAGGCCCTGGCAACGCTTTTCCTCCTGCTGCAGTCAGGACGCAAGAATGGCCTGTTGAATAATTCTATTATTCTATTTATCGACAGGCAGTATATGTTTTCTTAAATTCCTTCTGCACAAAAGTACAGCAGATTGTCAGGCAGTGTTATTTTTTAGACTTTTTTTTCAGTGAAAGTCACTTTAAAGCCATTTTTGGAGCAGATGGCCTCATCTCTAATGACACACTTGATGTACTCATAGCCTTGTGCGTGACTCTGAAGATTGTCAGACTATGAAGTACAGCTATTCTATAAAATTACTATCAGTGGGGCAAATTGAAAATATGCAGGATTGTGAAACAGAATATTTTGTCAATGAAATGAATAAAATATGTCAATTAGTGTAACTAAACTCTGCTTGTTCAGAGAGATGCAGAAACTCAATCGTTATTAAAATAAATGCTATAATTCATTCGTTCAGTTGTTTAACTGTACTATTTTTGCTGCACAGTTTTGAGCAGAATGCTCTGGATTAGCTGTGAACTGTGGATTAAGTGAAAAATTGCACATTAGTGGTGCGATCCAAAGGCATAACAGTTTGACCTGCATAACATATAAGTAACACTTACATAGCAAATACTTGCATTAAACACTGTTTAACACTATCATTGAACACTATTTATTTGAACTCTCTTACATCTATTAAAACAACAGAAGCTAGTATAAGAGCTATTACAACAGTTGGCAGAGAGTTACATCAAACATGTGAAAACTTTTGCTTTAGAGCAATTCCAGTGTTATTGATGTGACAGTAAAAGCTCAAAACATAGTCTATGTTAACATTGTTAAAACATATGTTTATATTTTCCAGAACAACTTACCACAAAGTTAAGGGATCAGAAAAATATCAATCTGTAAAGAGGTTATGTCATTTAAATGAGAAAAATAATAATATATATGCTCTTATAATGTATTATACTAATGTAGAAATCTCATCTTCCAGGTTCCCATGACTCCTTCAGTTTCTACATTGACGAAGCCTCACCAGTGGGTCCAGAGCAACCAGAAACAGTGCAGAACTTTGTGTCTGTGTTTGGCACTGTGGCTAAGAAGCTGATGAGGAAGTGGTTGGCAACACAAACCATGAACTTCACCAGCCAGCTGGAGGCAGGCATCCGCTTCTTTGACCTCCGCATATCCACCAAACCCAGAGACCCCGACAACGAGCTCTACTTTGCACATGGCCTGTTCAGCGCCACAGTACGTGAAGGCCTGGAGCAGATCAGCACCTTCCTGGCCTCTCATGCCCGCGAGGTTGTGTTCCTGGACTTCAACCACTTCTATGGTGTACAGAACCTCCATCACGAGAAGCTGGTGCAGATGCTACGCACCGTCTTCGGAGACCGACTCTGTCCAGTAGTGTTTGCTCAAGAAGTCAGCCTGAAATACCTCTGGGAGAAAGAGTACCAGGTGCTGGTCTTCTATCACAATCCAATGGCTCTGGAGGTTCCTTTCCTGTGGCCAGGTCAGATGATGCCTGCTCCTTGGGCCAACACCACAGATCCTGAGAAGCTCATTCTGTTCCTTCAAGCTTCAGTAAAGGATCGGAGACGTAAGGGCACCTTTTTTGTGTCCCAGGTGGTTCTTACTCCAAAAGCAAGCACCGTCATGAAGGGAGTCACCAGTGGTTTAAGGGAGACCATTACAGAGAGGTAAGCTACTGTGTACTGTTATAAAATCAGTTCTGTTAAATAATGCTGTTGTTCCTGAATGTCTTAATTTCCATTTTTCATAGTTCTTTGAACCAATCTCTGCGACCAAAACATATGCTTACGTCATCACTAAAGGTTTGCATTACATACTTAGCCAGCACCCCTGAAAAATAAGTTACCCAAGGTATATATTAATGTCAGTGATGGGAAGTAGCGTCACTACAAGAAGTGAAGCTACTAGCTTAACTACGTTTCTCAGCAGTGTGGCAGTAGCTTTGTTAGTTTCTAAATTTCTAAATCAAATAGCATTTCTGTAGTGAAGCTTTTTTTTTAGTCAAGTAGCGCAGTAGCGTCCACACAAGCTGCATTTACTGATCGCAGATCAATAAAGGACGGCACCGACATTGACATCTAGCGGATCTAGTCGACAAGTTTTTGGTGTGTTACTGCCACCTAACGCCGCCAACCAATTAGGCTAACACAGAAATTTGCTTTATGGAAAGATGACTGAGGGAGTGTTATGTATATATAGTTTAATGTAGTAGGCTACATTATACTATAGTAATTACTACTAGCTTTTGATAGTTACGAATGATTTTTGCTGTTATATACTATAAATTGTTTGGGTTTGGTGCAGCAAATTATTTGAACTGAACAGTTCTGCCTCGTTTGTTTCAAAGATTTTTCGATCACTAAGATATGATTGACATAGATTTAAGTTGCTTTAATTTAAAAATGAAAACTGCAAAAATAGCTTAGATTAATTTTTCTTGCATTATTTTTTATTGCAATTAAAAAAATAGCTTAGATGCTACCTTGCTACATTTAGTGTAGTCAAGCTACATTTTAAGTAGAATAGCTAATAGCTTAGCTCACTACATTTTTCAAGTAGCTTGCCCAACACTGATTAATGTATTATATACAGAAACCGAACAAATAGAGCTCACTTAAATTCAGCGCTTTTTTTCTGACCGAGTCATGCAACTTGTCATTGATAAAACAATGGTTATAATAAAAGCACAATGAATCGTTTATTTGCATTGAGTTTGTACATTGTTATAACAAATCAATTTGCAGTCTTGCAGAGCTCAAACGCTCAATAAACTGGCTTATAGAGCTCAGCAGTCAGTTCTGGAATTAATAATTCCATTCATTTTCTCCACAGGACAATTTTCTTTTAACAATAACTAATAAATCTGATATTATTTGTGTATGCTTTCGTTGTAAGGCAAGCCAAGGCTATTTTTATACAGCACATTTCATACATCATGGTAATTAAAAGTCTTTACATAACCAAGAAGATTAAAAGATTCTCCTCAAATAGTCATCCAGTAATTATAGAATAACTATAAGAATTAAAAACAACAAAGAATTCAAATGATGAAAAAAAAATCATTAAAAATGCATTACAGATTTAAAAGGAATATAAAAAGACCATAGTGCTTCTTGCAGTGTTTTTGAAATGTAATGAAATATTTAAGTTACTGCTTTGACACGACTACTGAAACTAAGGAATGACTCCAGAAACACATCAAGATTCTTGACTTGATTTTTTTTTTTTTTTTTTGACAGCTTGAGTCAAAGTACTGTACACAATCACCTTGACAACTTCATTTTTGTTCCCATGCATTGGCTTCAGTTTGGTCTTTGTTTAACTGAAGAAAGCCCTGGCACATCCAATAGTTTATTTCATCAGTGCATTGGCAGAGGGTGTTAATGGCTAAATACAATAGAGTGTCATCTGCATAGATGTTGTAAGAGATTTGCTTCTGTCTCATTGTTTGGGTCAGTGCGAGTATATAAAGGTTGAAAAGGAGAGGGGACAGAATAGAACCTTGGGACTCCACATGTCATTGGTGTTCATATTGACATATGATCACATAAAACGACATAGATCTAAACCATTTGAGGACAGTCCCAGAAAGCCCAACCCAGTTTTACAGCCTATTGACAAATATTTTACGGGATCAACAGTGTCAAATGCAGCACTTACATCAAGTAATAAGCATAAAAATAGCATTCTTAAATTGCCTGTTTCATGTATTTAGGTAAATATCATTGATTATCTTGATGAGGATGCTCTCTGTATGATGGAGAAGGGTCTGGATGCAGATCTGGTGCAGTGCAATCTGAGCTGCATCCAATGCTTTTTAATTCACTCACCTAACCCCACCTCTAACATTAAACTCACAGTGACGTCACTCGCTCCATTTGGGTGCATTGTGTCTGACATTGCATCGCTGAGTGATGCAATATCAGCTTGCATCATATAGGCTGCATCCAGATACTATTGGAATGATGTGGTTAAAAACCTGATTGAAAACTGTCTAAACATCCATTTGAGTTTAAAGTTTTTCTTTTTCAATAATTTTTGCCAATGAAAGAAATGTTGAAATGTATTCTTATTCGCTTGATATGGTGTTATCCAAGTTATCATTTTTCAAGAGGGGTTTAACAACTTCACTTTTCAGGGAGTATGGAAATGTCCTAGAAAGAAGTGAAGCATTACAAGATTTTAACATCAGTTACTTTGAGATCAGACTTAATATCTGAGGAAGTTGTGGTTGTGGTTTGTCTGATGTTAGCACAACTTAGCTGATTGGATGGCTTATGCTTTCAGAGTGAAATTAACTGAGAATCCTACACCACAAAATATCTGCTAATATAGTTTCCATATTTTGTAATTCAAAAGTTTTTTTGTTCCATTTATTTATTTATTTATTTATTTATTTATTTGTTTGTTTGTTTATTTATTTATTTATTTATTTATTTATTTATTTGTTTGTTTGTTTGTTTGTTTGTTTGTTTGTTTGTTTGTTTGTTTGTTTGTTTGTTTGTTTATTTATTTATTTATTTATTTATTTATGTATTTATTTATTTATGCTTTTTAATTGTATTATGGGACCATGATCTCTGCTCTGTTAACTTTTGATGTTGAAAATTCAACTCTACAGTTTAACAAAATGACTTTTATTGACATTTTAATTGTTTTAAATAATAATATATTTTAAAATAAATAATATATTGAGTAATAAGTATGTAAAATAACAGAAATGTACCGGCAGCTATAATCTATTTAACTGGCAACTATTAAAAATGTTAACAAAAGTCAACTTTTCAATGTTAAATCTTGTTGGAAGATAGATCAAGGTCTCATAATGTAATTTGAAAGCATAAATAAATAGGGAAAACATGAATTGCAAAATACAGAAATTTTACATGTACATGTTTTAAAGTGTACTAGGAGGGATTGTGAGTCTCTCTACTGTAGCAAAGAGTTCTGTTAAATACAATTATGCAAAGTTTGTGTAAACAAACAAACAAAAAAAAAAAGTTTGTGCTGAGGCAAACGTTTGTGCAGAAAACTCAGGGTATGAGGTGCACCAAAAAATATTTAGCTCCATCCACTTTCCATACATCGTCAACATTTGGAGTGCTTTATAGATTTTTTAATTCTTTCCTACATTAAAGTTCAATGTTATTGTTGTCAGATTTTCATTAAATTTTTTTGTCTATATAAATGTTTGTCGGTTGGTTTGGTTCATGGCTAATAACATGTTACAAAAATATATATATTTTTAAACCACTGTAGGAAAAATGAATTAAATGTATGCTTTCAGAACCAGTTCTGTTGAAAAAGTGGATGAACTGAAATGACGTGAATACCTCAGAGTTCTGTTGTCACTGAGTTCACTCAACAAATGCTTCTAAAAGTCTATAATCCTCAACACTGCAAAACATGTATGTACTTCATGTACTTAGGAATTTGCACCAAAGCATTTGAAAGCAGCACCTTTCATTGTGTGCTTTAGCATAGTACAGCTGAAAAGCTTTAAACATAATTTAAATTACTGGAATATTTGACAACAACACTACTGTGAAATTTGTGGCATCAAAGAACATGTCGACTCATTAGTTCTAACTCTCAGTTATCTTCAAATCAATGCCAGGCAGATTTTTTACAGTCCCAATTTAATCTCATTACAGTTATTAGCCGTTGCTTAGAGTCTCTTGGGTTTCAGTGATCAGGATTTGTCAGGCTTGGTTAGAAACAAGAAACTCCTGGCAGAAAAGCAGATTTCAAAATGGCTCTGGACATAGTCAGTGCATTAATTCTCGAGTGCAGCAATATTCAGCTCATTCAGATGACTGAGAGGGGGTCTTTCTGCCTCCCGCAAGGAAGACATTGGCTTTTGCGTCTGTCATCTTCTGTTATTCCTTTTCGCCTGTCAGCAGGCATGATATATAGTTTGCCATTGGGCATGAAAAAAGCACTGCCATAATATCCTGGCATTAGCATGATGAGGGAATTTAATAATTTGATTTCCTTTTAGTGATTCTGGATTCTTGGAGGATTTTTTTTATCATTTGTGGAAGAAATATTTCTAAATAAATACATTAAAAAGTTTACCAAAAATCTGCATAGTGTCAATAAACATTTTTGGGACTTGTCAGGGATGCAATTCAAAATTAGGCAATTTATTTTAAATAAAAATATGCACATTGCATATATCTCAAATATTATGTGCAAGATATCATTGGTTTTTGCATTAAAAGATAAGCAAGAAATAAATTCTATATCTTTATTGAAATGTTTATTTATATATTTAGGCCTATGCATACTATTACCTACCATAAAATAGCACTACGTGTGTGTCAGCTACTTTAAAATCCATTAAATAAGTTATGAAAAATTCATCCATAATTACCCAAATTTGTCTACAGTGTTGATCAAACAAAGATATAGATACTGATTCAGATTATTTATCTATAGAATGATTAAAGTATAGGCATTTGGCATCCAAATCCAAAGTAGACAGTAAAAAAATAGACAAAGCGCACATTTAAGGCTTTAAAATAACCAATGTCCACATAATACATACATGTGTAGTGAATGATGACGAATAATGAATGCTTGAATGCACGATGGTTTGTTCTGTAGAAAATAGAAAGAAAAAAATGCAAATTGGGGCTAATAATATTGACCTTAATGTGGTTTTAAAAAATAAAATCTGCAATTTATCCAAAATACAACAAATAAGAGTTTCTCCAGAAGGAAAAAAAATATTATAAGAAATACTGTGAAATATTCTTTGCTCTGAAGCATAGTTTGCAAAATATTTAAGAAAAATAAATACAGAAGGGCTAAGACTTTCGAGATTATTTTTAAAAAGAGTTACTGTGCAATCACACCTTATGATACCACTTTAATGCTATCCACATACATGGCTGAATCCCCTTGGGTGTGTAGTGAGGAGCAGCACATTATTTCTGCTTAGTGTGGCTGGAACATTAGCTAAAGGGCAGCTCTGACACCAGCGTTAGTCACCCTGCTTACTGGAAGACTCATTCAGAAATCTCATTCCTCTAGTCTCTCCAGCATCAAATCTTGGTTTTCCTAGAAAAACAAGCACATTGGTTTAAGCTTTAGGAGAACATATTCTTTGTGTGTGTGAAAGAGAAGGCCTACACTTGTGACGACAGACTCATACAGTTGAAGGCAAAATTATTAGCCCTACTGTGAATTCTACTGTGAGGTGTTCAATGGAGCAAGAAAACATTTTCACAGTACTTCATCAGGGGTTGCCACGGCGGAGTGAACCGTCTACTTAGCCAGCATATGTTTTACATATGCTGATGTCCTTCCAGCTGCAACCCAGTACTACGAAACATCCATACACTCTCACATGCACACACACACACTATGACCAATTTAGTTTTTTCAATTCACCTGTGCCACGTGTTTGGACTGTGAGAGAAACCTGGAGCATCTGGAGGAAACCATTGCCAACATAGGGAGAACATGCAAACTCCACACAGAAATGCCTGTGAGGCGAAAGAGCTAACCACTGAGCCACCGTGTCGATTGCATTTAATTTTAATTTTAATATTAATTGTATTTAATATTAATTTATTTTATATTTTTATAAATTTTTGTCCTTCCATGACAAATATATTTAGCCTCCCTAAGTAATTTTTTTTTTCTCGATTTGGTACCCCTGTTGTTCACTAACTTGCCTAGCTAATTTAACTAACCTAGTTAAAAAATAAGTAAAAATCTGAACAGCACATTTTTTACATGCTTGCAGAAACTGGCCTACCAAGCAGATTTTGTTGATGTTTTATTTTGATTAAAGCTAATATGATAGTTTTGTACAATGTCTCTTTATTTTTTGCATCAACTGTCTTGATGGCAGATTAATTATAGATGAGGGTAGAAGAGGGGCTCATTGGTGTAAAGTGATACGGCCTCTGCAGTCTGACAAGTGTGGCGACGTTTGAGCCTTTCAGCTCATGCATCCTCTGTGAGCGAGTAAGTCCTGAGTCATTGTCTTTACAGCGATGAGCCTGTGTCTGCTTATAAACCCACTTCAGGTGCATCACCACCTGCACACCACTGATAGACAGACAAAACAATGCATATGAGCTGAGCTGGACAAAATGTAATGTGGAAAAACGTATCGGAAACATGTAGCTACATATTTATTATTTCAAATGTTCTTATTGTTTCAAGTCTGTTCCAAGTTTAACTATGTTATAATAGACTTGAGTTGTTATATGACACTTTTTATTATAATTTAAATGTTGTCAACCATTTTTAGCTTTAAACTGTTATTGTGACTCACAGTTTTGCATTATTTTAATTTTTAAAAATGACTAATGATTTTTTTGTTATAATTTAAAATAAACATAATCCTAATTATGTCTTATTAGGTGCTAATTTCTTTTTTTATCTCATAACTTTGACTTAATATGTATATCATTAATGTAGCTTTTTATGCCAAATTTGACTTTCACAAACGTTTATGGCTCTATTTTAACCATCTAGACGAAAAGTCTAAAGCGCAGGGCGCAAAAGCATTAGGGGGTGTCCGAATCCACTTTTGCTATTTTAAGGATGGAAAATCTGCTTCGTGCCGTGGTGCATGGTCTAACAGGGTTGAGCTTATTCTCTTAATGAGTTATAGGTGTGTTTTGAGAATAAACCAATCAGAGTCTCATCTTCCATTCCCTTTAAGTCAGTTGCGATGCTCCATGGTCGCATTTGCTATTTACATGGTGGACTTTATAAGTGGAAAAACTGAGCGCTTCATTAGCGAGAGATCAGTTAAACAGAGATTAATTGAATAAGCTCAAATGTCTATAGTGTGTGAATAAGAGTGTATCGCTGTTTCTCAGTGATGGGTTGCAGCTGGAAGGGCATCCGCTGCGTAAAACATATGCTGGATAAGTTCATTCTGCTTAATATTTTTAATATATTAATAAAGGGACTAAGCCAAAAAGAAAATGAATGAATTATTTTTACGTTTTGACATGCCGATACCTATTATCTCATAATTATGGCTTGAATTTTTTTTTTTTTTACTGTTACCTCATAATTATGACTTATAGATTTGACTGTTTATTTCTGTCATATTATTTATAATTTCGTAATATCTACATTTAAGCTCATAATTCAAACTTTGTCTTAAAACTGATTTAGTATGTCCTTTTTGTCCTTTTTATTTCTAAAATATGCCTTAGTATTTAAATGATAATTTTTGTTTTATCATTTAAACCTTTTCATGACTATTTAAACATTATCTCATAATCTTGATTGGTGTACTCAACTTTCTTTTTTAATTCTTGTCATAATTTTGCCTTTTAAAAGTAACTGACGTTTTGTTATAACTCTGTCTTCATATTTTATACAATAATTAAAATGTAATGTAAAATGTATTTATTTATTATTTATTTGAAGAGTTCAAATGTCAAAAGTCGAGTTCAGATGCATTTTTCGCCACTTCCGCCAAAAATGGGAATATGACATTGAGTGAATGCTTTACGCACGTAGTATCAACAAATAGATTTGTCTCTAATCATCCAAATCCCAGCGTCAGTGCATCCAGAATTAACAGTTTTTTGGCAAAAGACACTAAACGCCACTTGTCTTTGGCAGCAAAAGCTGTTATATCCCGAGAACCAATCAGAAAGTGCAAATCGAATCATATGTTTTCAATTTAGCAGCGCGCTGATACACCGGCTTTTATGAGGAGACAAATTCCGCTTCTGTTTTTGATTTTAAAAGACAGAATTTGATGAACTGGATGAGCCTGGTCGACTGTCAGTAAATGGCCTCAAAACTTACCCCCAAACTCTGCATTATAAGAAAAAGAAAACACAATGTGCAGTCGGAAGTGTAACATGCTTTATAACGTGCTTTTCCTCAGTGACGTTACTTTGAATGAGTCTGATTTACTATACATTAAACAGCAACTCCGTTTCACTAAAGACAGAGTTAGGATGCCATTCCTTTATTCCATGTGGATGCTATGAGGATAAACACCAAGACCTTAAGTATGGTGAGAATGAATGAATGAATGACAGCTTCTAAAATTGTCTGTGAGTCATCCCCTTTTGCCCAGTATGCCTACCTTGTATTATATTTGCTAATTTAGGCTAATACATTTTTTAAAAGATAAATATAATGTATAAAACTATACATTATTTATATTACTTCATAATACCTATACGTCCGATAACCTTTTTTATAATTATGGACAATGCACAAATATGTTTCACAATGTTTTTACACTACATTATTTGAATCTACTGTAGCAAGCTTAGTTTACAATGTTTACAATGTTTACATTGTTCTACTTACATTAAATCTAAATCCTAAATATCAGAAATGACTGAAATTAACTGAATGTTAAGATTTAATTAATGTAAGTTTTAATGTTATTAATTAATGCACTTATTGACAGATTTCATTCATTCTTTTCCTTCTGCTTTTTGCATAGAACACAGACGTGGGTTTAGCTGGTTTTGACGCAAAAGAAAATCCTTTCCGTTTTAAAAACCAAAGAATGGTCTGTGACAAAGCCTGATAGATCCTTGTTTACAAGAAAAGAGGTCTGATGAATTTCGAGGGTTTTGCATCTGAACTCTTCATTTATTTTTAAAATTATGGATATTTTTTATCTATCATAATTTATTATTTATCTCATGATAAAGATAATGTGATAATTTAATATGTAATTTTCATTCATTTATTAAATATCCTTCAAAATAGTCCCTTTATTCATCAGGGGTCGTCACAGCAGGATTAACCATCAACTTATCCAGCATGTGTTTTATGTAGCGGATACCTTTCCAGCTGCAACACAATACTGGTAAACCACCATGCACACTCATTCACACACACACTCATGGCCAGTTTACTTATTAAGTTCACCTGTACCGCATGTCTTTGGACTGTTGGGGAAACCGGAGCACTCAAAGGAAACCCACACAAACATGGGGAGAACATACAAACTCCACACAGAAATACCAACTGACCCAGCCGGGACTCGAACCAGCGATTTTCCTGCTGTGAGGCGACATATGTAATGTAATTTTATAGCATAATAATAATTAGAACAATCTCATAATTATTACTGTTTTGGGGGGTATAACTGACTTTGTCACAACTGTGACTTACACACAGACTATTTCATCAGAATGTAGTTTGAATAATTAATCATTTGTGTTTCAAATCTCTGCACCTTGCATAAAAGCTTATTTTTAATATTATTTTTAATATTAATTGCAGGTGACACACATTTTTTTACATTTTGTGTTACAAATTCAGCTCAGTTACTATTCATTCAGTATGCTACCTTAAATGTTAGCTGCCTATATAGACAGCTCACTATGTTTTGAAACTGAGCTATTTTGCCCGCTGACATTGGTTCAGTTTTGTAACAAATCCCTTTAGACTGAAACGGACTGTCTATTTGTGTGTGCTCTCAGGGCTCTTCCTAGCATGATGCAGTGGATCCGCTCACAGCGGCCTGGGGAAAGTGGAGTAAACATCATCACTGCCGATTTCGTGGAGCTGGGGGAATTTATCAGCGCTGTTATCACCCTCAACTACTACTTGGATGATGAGGAAGAGAACGCCACCTGAACCTCCACATATACCGTGGTATCGATTACTTGCTCCCTCTCTCTTTGCCATATTTTTTTAAATGTCTTATTGATTTTAATAATTTTTTCGGATCATAGAAACTCTGTTCAACTCTGATATATTTAGGGCTAATGAAAAGCATAAGAATGAGAGTAGAGGCCAGACACGGTCAGATAGAATCATTTTAGGTTTTGTCTGAGAATGAATGGGGGCAGATGATAACATAATTTCGAAGGGGAAAAAAAGGTGACCAGCCTTTTCCTGTTTCTCTGCTTCCCATCTGTTGGACTACTAGTTGCTGATTCACATGCTCAAAACCTTCTGATCTAACAGTTCTCATTTCAAGGAAATAAATATTGTTTGTACAGTGAATGTGATGCTGAATCTATAGTAGGTTTACTTCTAGTGGTCGTAGTAACTTGTATGATTGTCAAATTGTAAATACTTGTAAACCTGTTGAATTGTAACTTTGCTCATCTCACTATTTGTCATGCCCGAAAAAAAAGAAAACATATGTCAAGGTTTCCTTTGGGTGCCTTGGTCTGGTCTTACAATGTTGATGAAGTGAACTATTAGATGTTTGTATTCACAACCAAAAACTGCAAATGTATGTAACAGCATTTTTGCCTTTCAACACTACTAATTAAGGCTTTGTATCAACTTTTTTGTAGTCGTCCTTTACTTTATCCTACAGATTATTTTATACATATCTGGGAATGACATAAATATTCATTTAATTTGCACTGCTGTGACTGTGGACTGTTAAAAGTGGCCATCCGAGTTTGCCAATGCATAAAATCCCTTAATAATGCATCATTTGCATTCAACTGTAAACATGCATACATAAACGAACACACAGGGGACGAACTCAATGGGTGTGAACAGACTTATTATAACACCATTTTCTAATTAGCCCGACTAATTGGATAAATGGCCTTGCGGATGTTTTAATCACACAGACGCCAGGAAATTAAATTTGTTTAAAATCTGACATTATAAAACAATATGTCACGTTGCTGCTTTCTTCTTTTGTCTGTCCTGTTGAGATTAGTCTTAAATTGACTGGAAATTTAAGGTTACGTGGCCCTAGAATTTCAACTTGGAAAGTGTTTGATTCATGTTCAATAATTTGACAATCCCATGGCCGACCTGGAGCATGGACTTGTGTGAATGCATTAATCATGCCTTTGTACAGTACAAATTTGCATGTAGTCGTCAAAGTCGATAAATTGTACGTAAACTTTCTATGGTTATATGTCCTAATCGAGAATTTCTGACAAATCTGGTGTACAATAAATGTAAATACTGCATATACAATGTACCACAAGTGTTTGTTTGACATTGCACTTTAAGTCTAGAGTGTGACGTGTTGTGTATTCGTTGCGTATTACATGTTCAAAATGACGTTTTGACATATTATGTATTTAGAAATGTATTAAATGCAGTTTATTCCCCAATTACTATGACATGCAGAAACAAATAGGAGTCAATAAGTCCGATAAGATAACTCGACTTCTTTATGACAAAGCAAGATTAGTTCATGTTATAAAATCTTTTGATATGGCTTTTCAAAATTAAAGTTTTGGCCAGTTGGTGCGGTGAATTCACATAAATTGGTTATCATTTTAACTTATATTGTTATTGTATGATCTGCTGACTCTCAAGCAAGGGTTAGGTTTAGGGCTACATTTTTATGTTTAGTTTGTTGACAAAGAATGCACAATTTCAACTCAAATTGAACAGAAAGAACTAAATTGGCAACTGACTTGTCAAAATACTCATATAAAATTTTCAATATGGTATCTCCAAGTGAAACATGAGTGAAACATGAATTGAAATCTGTTGAAGTTCATATGAGAAGCAAATTGAAATAAATCATGATCAAAAAATCAGCATTTACACAATTCGGATACTTTGATAGGATACGATTACTTCAAGTTAAAATACTATCTGGAGTCAAATATATATGGATTTTAAAAAATCTTGAAAATTACATTTTCCTGTATTTTATTGTAATTTCCTCCTTGATTATTTACACAATTCACTATTTATAAGCTAATAGGGGACAAAGTTATATGAGCTCATGTGATCATTTGTTCATTTTTGTAATTTGACTTCCATACCGTAGCTACATTTACAAAAGGCTCATTCTGAAAACGTACTGCTATATACATTTCTGTGAAGCGCCAAATACATCTCAGGAGTTCCGTTTTTTTGCAGCTTTTGTTTTTGCGAATCCACCAGAGGCTGCTGTATATGTTTTTTAAGATTTTAAATTTCTCTTGTGAGTGCCATTCGCACCTGCTGTTCTCGTGTAAATCCACCAGAGGTTGACTGACTGACTGACTGAAGTACTGACTGACTGATCGACTGACGCACCCTCCTCTTTTCCTGAACCCAACCAATAGTGTTTTCGAAAGCACCAACTGACCCGCCTTCCCACTTCCCACCAAACTGACATTTTTAAAAAGCAATCCATTTAAAGAAAAGCCCTTGCCTGATTTTTACCACGTTTTTAGATTTTACTACGTTCTCACCTTGTTATTTACTTGTTTATGTTTTTTTTTGTTTGTTTTTTTGGCTTCTGTTTTTGTCCTGCCTGCTTTTTGGAACTGTTCTTTCCTGGACACGAACCCAGTTGTCATGCCATTTTAAAGACGAAATGCAGCCATACGTACTTCTGGCTACATGGTTCGTGATCTCCAGAAATGTATAAAGGGCTACGTTTTCAGAATGTGGCTGTGTTGCAACTAATAACTATGTAATAAAAAAAAACATTTTTTTTTCTATACATTGTTGAAAAGCTTTGCATGTAGTTTACTGTGTGTTATAAAAATCATTCCAGTTCACACAGATATTCACATATGACTAAAATACTGTATTATTGGATACCAATAGATGGTGATTTCAGATATGTACTGCATACTGTATATAGTCATATCATAAACAGGATCATTACTTGGTACTTTCCCTAAACCTACTTCTAACCCATGTAGTTACCTGCATCCATATGTAAGTACATTTACTGTGAAACTTGTATTATTGTATGAATTTGCCACCAATTTGTCAAACTGTTAAACTATGATTGTGATCGTGAGCTTATTATTTATCTGCAAATAAAATTGTTATCTCAAAAAAAAATATCCAATCATAACTGATAAAGTCAGTTTAAAATGCAGTTAAATTGTGCTGAAATTGTTACTCACGGTCTTTTATGATCTCTCCCACCAAATGAGCCATGACTGCCTAAATCTATTGAAATGCAGATGAGAAGCTGATTTGAATAAATAACGATAACAAAAGTAACATTTGCGTAGAGTGTGGTTCGCCAGTTCTCTGGGATGCCGAGAGCAAAGTCCGTGGCCTCATTACATGCTTTCTCAATTACAGCTATTCATTTCTGGCAGAGGTCCGCTCAGCTTGTTTTGACAATGGCGCTATGCAGCTGTGAAAAACCTCTCTTTTACTTTTTTCCGAGCAGTGTGTGCTTTCTTTTCTGATTGTGAGCCTATTACCCGGAGCTGTTAGTCTGCTGATTGTATTTTCAGAAGCGTTGGTGTAACTGTGATTCTCTGAATTAAACTTCATGTTTGATGTTCAGTGGTTTCATGCTACAGTACATGACGGAAATTTTAAAACTCACATGGAGACACTTGCAGATGTGCCTCACAAATTTGAACTATTGTTTTCAACCTCTTGTTGTCTTAGAATTTTGTATTTGGGTCCAAAATAACCCATCTTAACCAAACTTAAAATCCGTTAAATTTAGTTTTGATCCTCAAAGCTATGTTGCATGAAGAAACAAAATAGATTGGAGGTTTTCCCTCATCAGTGTGAAATATTTTATCAAGGTTTAATCAGTGGTCACTACTCTTTTTGACTTTTGACTAAAGTAAAGGGTATATTTTCTAATACTAAAAGTACAATCCCAACAATATTCATAAAAGTTAAAGCATTTATACTGTTTGGGGAAGTTTGTGTTGTAGTGTCCATGTGTGTGTCAGTAGTTTTTATAAATGGTTTGGTGGGCCAAAAAGGGCAAACTGTTGTAAATGTGTACAGCTTGTAAAAATGTTCAGAAAATATGAAAATAGAAAATTATTTATTTTCTCTAATGTTGGGGTCATTTTTGAAAAAAAGTCACCAAACTTCAAAATAAAGATTCTGTTGCTGTTAAAATGGTGGCCAGGTCAATTTTGACTTGTAAGTTGGATTAAACAAATAAACAAAAATATGCTTATTATAGTTTAAAATAGTATAAAGTTCACCACTGGACTGATATGTGGCCTCCTCTTTGACGTTAGCACATGCACTCAAAAATATGTTTAATGTTTATTCAAACATTTTTTGGGGGACAACTTAGTACAATTGGTTTATGCTCAATCCATTTAAATTTGTAAAACTAATAATAATAATAATAATAATAATAATAATAATAATAATAATAATAATAATAATAAATGAATTTATTCCTTTATGTTGTACCAACACAAACTGTGTGGAAGCCAAAATTTTTTACACCGTGGGCCACTCAAACAAACATGCAGAGCTGCAGGCACCAGGTAATAAAGCTAGCTGAACCATTCTCCTTTACCCAAAAGTGTGTGCTTTTTTATAACTATGCTAGTAAATTCCCCAGCCAGTGAACCGAGTTCCTCCAAGGCTCCCAAAACCTGACTTGGCTAAATGCCTGCTTGGTCAACCTGCATATTGGGGATTGGTGCACCATATGTAAGGTTCTGTGGCTTCTCCTACAAGCTAAACTGTCTTCAACTATTGTCTTGACTATTGTCTTTCAATAGTCACCGTATCCAGAATGCCCCCATTGGGAAGTAATTATAGTCTCAGCAGTGTCCTTCCCCTTCAGGAATGCTTCAGAATGGTTTTGCAATGTATTGTCTTATTCAAACCCCTAGTCTTTACTTACCTAGTTGACTCCCGTAAACTGCAAATTTTTCCTCTTCTTTTCATCTTCTTCTTCATTTGTGCATGTATATAGCACATATATTTTGAATTACATACACTTAAAGCTCTTTACATTCATGTAAGGCATACTTGTCAACCCTCCTTTTCCCTGCATTCTCTCGTATTTTACATTTCGTCACCTTAGAATTATAAGGTTCTATCTGACATTTTTGTCAAAATTGAGTAATTGACACATTCCTAATAAATGACAACTTATTTACATCATGTGATGTTTTTTTTTAATGTTGTTTACATTTTAAAGCTTTCTTTAAAAAAAAAAAATTATACACACATACTGTTTGCTATGGAATGCAAAAACTTTAAAGCTCATTATCTCAAAATCATTCAGAACGCAGATAGAACATTATTATTCCAAGGTGATGAATTGCATCCCGCTATCATACCATAAAGTTATATTTCTGTATTACTCCCGTATTTTCAAATTCTCAGTGAAGGGTGGCTATAAACATTAAAGAGTTGATCTTCCCTATATGTAACCCATACCGCCAAAATAAATATGAAAATGGCAGGACACCCTTCCTTTCTATCACAGGCGCCATTGCCCCTCTTATGCAATCCTGTAGTGGTGCATGATCAATTGTGTGACTGTCAGACACACTCCATAGTGATAAATAGATGCCAAACGGATTCTGTACATGCAATCTGAAGTGAAGCGAAAGTCTGGGTTTTGGGTGTTTGTTTGAAAAGACATATACAAATAATTAATAATAATAATAATAATAATAATAATAACAACAACGACATCTAAAGATGATGATCTTGGTGGGTTATCTTTTAAACACAACTAATTTTGTTTTAAATGAGGATAAACAGATAGGAAAGCAAAGTGACACCTCTGTTATTTATTGTAATCAAATGAAAAATCTAAATAAGAGTTTCATTCGCTGCTTTTTAATCAGAATGTTTAAATTATACAGAAAGGTTCATGAGATTTGATAATTTATTTATATTTCTTTATAATAGATATTCATTTTAATAGGCTAAATTGTTTGCTAATTTATGTGCAGCTTTTTCTAATGTTTACTATTTTGTAAATAATAGTAATTTTTCTTCTTCTACTTCTTCTTCTTCTTCTTCTTCTTCTTCTTCTTCTTCTTCTTCTTCTTATTATTATTATTATTATTATAAAACATTGTATCCCTTATTTTCACACCCAGTGTTGATAGGTATGGTTTGAGGTTGTCTTTTTTCACCACCACCAGTGTTTAGCTTCCACAGACATTAGATGATGACACATTTAATGGTGTTTGTGTGCTCACACTACTGTAGATGCTTTACAACATCACTAAAATCATGTAACATCGTTCAGTAGTTGTGGAATTTTCTAAAAGGACCCCATTTGTCGGTCATGTTACAGCATAACTTGTATTGACCAACTGAAAAGCAAGGTCTTGATTACGGATTTAACCCTCATCTTTACAACCACAACTTTAAACTGCCAGCTGAATGCCGAGCTGTGTATTGGCTACTCAGCAATAACCTGAAGAGAGAGCTGCGCACAACAGCTATTTTTATTCCTGGCGGCTATTTAAGTTCTGTGCAGTTCTTGGCCAGTTATTATTTGTTATGGAGTGTTATCAGCATTCATTAAATCTTCTATTAACAGTATCTTCCTGTCTTTTGTGCGCACATGTGACATTTATTATGTTATTCAAAATGTTATTTGAGTTTTATAATCTGGTAATACTTTAAATATGACATTATGAAATTATTGGAATAATTATAATTAGTATTATTCAATAATTATAATAATATATGTATTTTAGAACAAATAAAATGACAACAATACCAACAATAATAATAATAATAATAATTATTATTATTATTATTATATTATTGTATATTATTATTTTTTGTATTTTTACTTGCTAGAATTAGTTTTATTTTATTTTATTTTATTTTATTTTATTTTATTTTATTTTATTTTATTTTATTTTATTAAACATGCTATAATTAGTACAGCTTTTGTTTTCCATGATTTCGTAATTCAGCAACTTGCTCAGAAACAATCCCTGATTCCAAGTTACCTTCAACTGATTTAACAGCAAAGGCAAAGCCGTATCTCTGGGGAATAAATAAAAATCCCTTGTGGGAGGTGATCATGATATAATCATTAGTCAGTTTCCATTTCTGATTTAGAGTGGACATTATCTGATTGGGTCTTTTTCCTGCCAACTGAATCTGTTCATATTTGACAGTTGCCAGCAGCGATATTAAGAACGCTATTGAGAAATTTGCCAAATAAGGACGGGCGTAAGCCTCACACTCACAGTCCTCAGTGTAATTATGAGCAGCATGGCACCATTCGGAAAGTGAAATACGAGTTTTCCTAATGCCAGAGTGCTTTCAGACAGACAGCTGAACAATGTTTGCAGCACTGCATGCATTTACTCCTTTTACTGTGTCAAATAACCCAAAGACAAGTTTAGGAATATATTTTAGTGATTTACATACTAAATATTGCTTCATGGACCACTATTAAAAGCATCAGTTTACAATTTTTTACTGTTTTATACAGTCTATTTTTTGCTCCAAACTAGGAATCATTATTAATCCTGTCTGTGACAGCTCTTTCTTCTGTTCAGTCTCATCATGACCAATGAACCAAATGTTCGATTCCAATGTCACCTGTCAGCTTTATCTGTAAATCTCACTTCACAAATCTTGTTTTCACAACTGAGGTGAATGGCTTACACAGGGCACTTAAAATGCAGACATGTCTACAGCCATCTTTAAACTAAAGTCAAGGTTATGCTGAAAAACATACAGTGAAAGGGAATGAGGCCAATTTAAAAAGCAGAAATATAATTTTATAATTTTATAAAATCACTTTATTCTGTTAAAGCATTTGTATTATTTAAGTTGTGATGATTATTTTGTCATTCACGTAGTTTATGAAATTGTGTTGCTATGGCAACAATAATTGTAAAATAATTGTTATTATTTTAAATAAAATCACTCACATATACATACACATATATAATATGATTTAATAACTAATAGGTTACTGGAATAATGAGTGTTTGTGGATGTTTCCCAGAGATGGGTTGCAGCTGGAAGGGCATCCGCTGTGTAAAAACTTGCTGGATAAGTTGGCGGTTCATTCTGCTGTGGTGACCCCGGATTAATAAAGGGACTAAGGGAACAAGAAAATGAATGAATGAATGAATGAATAATTGGTGCATCGTCTAACTTTGAATCTTTATTAAAATCCAGTGTCAAATTATGTTTTGTTTGTAAATAAATATTAGATAATAATTAAATAAATCTTCCAATGGACCCATTTTTAATGTTTCTAGAACTTGCTGACCATTACTGGAATAAAGTTCATTCGTTCATTCTTTCTGAAAACTGGGATGAGAGTGAAATCAATGTAAGGACTGTGTGCTTTTCCACTGCACAGCATTGTGTTGTGTTCAGAGCATCTTCACCAATTGGTTTCTGTGTATACCTGCTTTTTCTGTTGGTCTCTCATTATTTACCAACTACAGCATGAATTAGTGTGTGGAACTAATAATAAAATGATGTAGAAGCATTCCGGTCAACATTGAGATGTGAAAATAAGGGATATGCCCACCATAACAAATTACTAAATATGTTCATCTGGAGCTGTTTCATTGTAAATAAACAGTTAAATGATCAGTAATAGATTCTATTATTATTATTTACAAAAGAAAAAATAATTAGTATTGGCTAAATTAGCAGTTTAGCTTATTAAAATTAAAAGCTATTATAAAGAAATAGAATCAAGCTATCAAATCTCAATAATCTTTATTTTTCATTGTATAATCTACACATTCTAATTAAAGAGCAATGGATGAATAATCTCAATTATTTAGATTTTTTGTTTCATTATCTTAAACAACAGAGGAGCCACTTTAAAAATGCACACATATAACGTTATAATGAAAGCATTCAAATGCTTATTTTCTAAGGTTTTATGCTCATTTAGGACAAAATTAGTTGTGTTTAATAAAATAAACCAAACCAAGATGGACATTTTTAAATGTTATTATTATTTAATATGTGTATTTGCTTGTTTAAACATGCACCCAAAACCCAGAGTTTCGCTCAGCTTCAAATAGAGTGTACAGAATCTGTTTGGGAGCCAGCGTGTTTTTATCACTATGGGGCACGTCAGCTGACAGTCACGTACCGCTATATGACTGTTTTGAGGATTGCATAGAAGGGGCAACGGCACCTGTAATGAAAAGAAAGGGAATCACTCAGTTTTATATTTATTTTGAAGTGTTTTCCTGTTTAAATAAAACGAAAGCACAGAACAGATTCACATTTAACAGTTAAACTCTGCTACGTTCTCATCGACGTTCGCTTTAAGATTTAAAGGGCTAGCATTGCACCAGACCCCCTTAAGTGATTTTGTTTTAAAGTGTAGAATCTATATTTTATGTACATATGCATTAATTTGGTTTTTATACTACTGCACGAAAGTTATTTACACTTAAATACACAGTATTTTGGATACCCCAGCTGGGTATTGAACATTGGTTCATTTTCAGATTTTTCATATGGTTCATAAATGACACGTACAAGTTATAGCTCAAATGAAAGCTCCTGCCAGTGCTCATACAATTCTAGCATTCTTTTTACTGAATTAAATTCACAAATCAAACAGTTGTTGAATGAATCGCGGTGTTTCCATGGCGCAGAAGTAAAAACAAACATTTATGATCAATAAGCAGCTTCAGATAGCACAGACAGCTGTCATCTCTTACCTTATGCTATGCGCTTCAGGGCCATTCTCCTCTGTTTTTGAGGTGATGGGCATAAGTAATCCTTTTATATGTCTGACGTGGTCCAAACACAGTGAATTATGTTTGATCAAACAAAAGAATAGTGAAATATGAAAACCATGATCGATCCCTGTGGCTTGTATAGCACCTCTCATCAGTTGGTATACAATAACTTTTGCATAGATTATGGTAGAGACATTTTTCTTTTTTCCCGATGATTACAGACATGTGCTGGAACCACTAAAATTAATTACAGCAAACCTAGACCACACAGAACCTAAAAGGTACACTTTCAAAGTTGAGTTTATAAAAAATAAATACAAAAAGCGCCTCTTTTTTCAGGTGTTTATTATAACACAGACAAAATTTACAGTTATTTTAAGCACTTGCAATAGTGTTTTATGAAAATTCAAAGGGTTTTCTTTAAATTTATACCATTTTTTTGCATGTGGATTTGAAAAACTTTTAAATTCGGGTAGGCAAAATCCAGGTAGAAATCCCAAAATAGCACTGGAGTTTAAGAGGTTAAGAGCAAGAGGCATCCCCTGATGGTTCGGCGGTATAGGTTGCATATAGGGAGGATTGGCTCTTTAACATGTATTGCCACCCTTTATAGAAAGATTAAAAATATGGGAGAAATACTGGAAAATACCTTTACGCAATGATAGTGGGATAGAACTATAAAATTATGGGAGAATCCCTGGAAATATGGGAGGGTTGATGGGTGTAGAAGCAATTCTTGTGTGGAGGTGGAGTTTAGCCATACTATTATACAATAAAGTAATGCATTCCACATCATTTTGGCAGATTGGCTTCAATATAAGCTGTTTTTAGAGTTTTGAGTTATGAAACCTTTACAGTATAATGCCCGATATGTCAAATGAACAAGGGAATATTGATTTCTTTGTTCCTTAGCACCTTAAATTCTATAAAGACAGAAAAAAACATGGATGAATAAAAATTCAAATAAAGTCTCCAATATTACAGATTTCATTTGACTTTCAGAGGTTTTCACATACACATTTCAGTGTTTGTAAACACATGCGAATGACTCTGTGAGCACACGACTGGATTTGTGATGCATTATTACCTGCGTGCAGAACATGCTGCTAATAAGAGCTTGGCGATGAGGGGCTCACTGAGAAACTCAATTACCTTTTAATTATACAAATGAGATCCTTAGAGGAACTGTGGATCCTGAGGTCTAAGCAGCAGAAAAGCCTGCCGATTAACCCCTGACCCTGAGACAGTGTATAGCATTATTATTCACAAAGGCATGCGCATTCGTAGGATATTCATGAGGAGACTTTGTCTTTTAAATACAATGATTCTTCCAGTAAACATACACATTTTAAATAGAGCTTTTATATAGTTCTTAATGGTGGAATTCAACTCAAAATTGTGCTTTGTCTCCATCAAGTGTTTATTGTGAATTCCAAATTCAATGTTGTCGGGTTCGTATTCAACACGTGACAAGCTAACATTTATTTACTCAACTGGACATTGGTGGTTTAATTCTCAACATGCTCCATAAATCCTTTAGAGTCATTAGAGAGATTTATGTGCTCTTTCTGTCTCTTGGGTCTCGCTCACATTCCAGTGAAATGAGGATTGTGTTGTTACAGGCATTCTTTGGCAGAGAAATGATCATTTCCCGCTCTCAGCTTGTTTTAGTCAGATAACACTCGGATTGGGAGGGTTTCTCCTATTATGTTGTGGACTGTATAGACAGACAGCTTGCAGAGAAATGTGCGTGCTGCTTCAGATTGCTACAATGAAGGTAAGCACTCTTGATTTTTCAACCAGTATCTAAAAAGTTCTGCATTATTTAAGCATGCATTGATTATGCTAACTCCAATGAGGCACTTTAGTGAAACTGTCAAGTTTAATGCAGTTTTACTCAAATGGTATTTTCATTCAGAACTGGTTTATTAGGAGAAAAACTTGTTTGTTCTCAGTGTGTGTTTCTGCATGGAGTTTTTCTTCTCTCACTGCTGTCTTCAGCTCCAATTACACAGTAAGTAACATTTTTGCATTTATTTTACTAAGTCTGTTGCTTTGTCTGTCCTTCCACTGTAGCTTTCCATATTGTTAAGGTTAAAAAGTGAATTTGAGCTTTGTATGAATCTGCTTGACAGCAAAATATATAGGCTGTCATTAAGGCTTACATAAAAAAGTACTCATAATATGAACTTTAATTTGAACACACTCACATGGTGCCATAGATTACATTAATACAATATGTTGAATTGTTCTCTAATATCTAAATAGAAAGTATCTGGGTTATAGGTAAGTGCCAAAATTCTCCAGAAATTGTTTTATTTGCTCATTTGTAACCACGGGAATTACCCATAGATTCAAAAGCTCAGTTTTGACCATATTTGGAACAGTCGTGAATATTAATGAGATATGATCTGATGCTTGCGAAACACTTGCGAAATAATCATACTTCAGTTGTCAAAAATTATTTTTTTAATGGATTTCTTTTTAAATGACATTCTTTGCAACTGAATGGGGTTTATTTTGGCTAGAAGGAATAAGTGAGCTATCTTTATGCCACCAGAGTAACCTAGTTTGCTTCTGAGTTGGAGACTAAATATAGGCTGAATTATAATTAATCCCAACAAAATGGGCAGACAGAGATATATTTTGGAGTTGTATTTTTTGTTTTATATGAAAACACAGGACATTAATATTAATAAACATTACTATGTTCTTCTCTATAAAAATGTGAATTTTATTGGTGCCTCTTTCACTCTAAACAAATAAACAGTAAAAGAAAATCACAGTAAGAGCTGACTGATATGACACAGTGCATAAACATGGATTTAACACTTGTAATGTGTATGTAACAATTTACTTGTGTTTGTCGCTTTTTTGCAACCATTTGCAGCAAATTTCTCACTATACACATTAAACTAACGAAAGATGAAGTTAAACTGACCTTAAAAGTCGAGTAAAGTGCTTTGAAATGTGCATTTTTTAAAAGTTTGGCGTAATCTCAAGTAAAAAATTAAGAGAAGGTGGGACACAGAGTAGGTCCTCCTCTTTAAATACAAAGCCAATTGCTTTTTGTTTGTATCACAGTTTTGCCAGTGAGAATGATTGAACTCAAGCACATCAAATGAAAAGCAAATGAGAAGGGAGCGGGGCATGTCAGATACTAGAGCATTTGATTGGACAAAATTTGATAAGAAACTAAAGTTTGAGGTGACATAAAAATGAAAAGAAAACATTGATCCATTTAGGTGATCTAACTGCACACTGTACATCTTCATTTTGTTTTGATAACACACTAGCTTATATATCCCTTAAGACTGAAATACTGATTCTAACATCTAAAAAACACTATTTTAATTTCATTGGATCTTTAAGCCTCTTTTAGAGGTGAAGGCTGAATAAATTTGTAATCTGCCTTTCCTGAATTCTGTAGTCTGATGATGATGATGATATTGATGTGTTCACTCTATGGCTGCATTACCTTATAGCTTTATAATGCTGGTCACATTTTTAAAATAAGAGTCCCACATACATAGTAAGCTCAGAAATGAAGAGAAAAATATCACTATTGTAGCTAGGAAACCTATTAATGAGCCCTTTTATTGCCAAAGTCTGTATTTTGTTCTTATTGGCCTGTTTTCCATCAGTATTTTACACTCATATTAAAAGGGTGGTGCAGAGTGTATTTTTAAAGCTTGGTTGTGTTTATAATATGTAAAACAATGTGTGCTCATGCTTCATTTTTAATTAGTGACAGTATTTTTTCATATACTTTGATAATATACTGCTATTCAGCTAACATGACACTGACTGTCAAATGTCCTAGTTCCTCTGAAAGCCAGCCCTCAAGAGGCTCTGATTGGTCAGGTAACATAATGTGCTGTGATTGGCTCCACATCACAGAGAAAAGTCACGCCTCTACTAGCAAGCACTTTGTCTCTGCTGTACAAATACTGTCAGTCAGTGTAACTGTTAGCTATATCAGTTTGAGCCTGAATAAGACAGAAAATGACAAGGACACAGCTGAACCTCACACCTGCTCTCTAAAATAATATTTGATAAGTGTCTTTTACTTATAATCAGAGTAAGCATGTGTAAGTAATACAAAACGTTCATATATTTTTGCGAGATCATTATCTGTATGTAGAATACATGGAAAGCAGCTGCATAGAGAGACACTGCATGCGATACAGGTTGTTGGCGTTCACAGGGGTTTGACGGATAAATATGAATTTGTAGCTAAATTGTTGGTGGTGCCAAACAGCATTTCCCATTGTTTACATCCCTGTTTATGTCCTCGCTACAACATACCGTTTATGCTAGAAACTGTGCATGTAATAGATCAATTTTAACAAATAAAAATACTTACAGGTTGTGGCTCACAACCCACAGCTTCTTCTATTATGGTTGGTGCCGCTTCTTCTTTGAGGAGTTTTTAGCAAAATCTAGCACTGAACTGGGAGAGATTCTGGAAGTTGTGCTTTGTCAAATGCTTGCTATATATTCTTTATAATTCTCTGGAACATAATTAAATTAAAATGTAAGCACTTCTCTCTTTTTGTCATGTCCTTTGGAAGACCAAATACAGAAACAAAAGAAGATCTGTGGAAATACCAGTGTTTGCACAGCATTCTGGCTTTTTCTGCTATAACATTACAGCGCCTCTGGCCACGCCCCTTTACCGCACTTGGTGTATGCGTATGGTGAATGCGCGTTACCTGAAGCATTTGTAATCTCATTAGTCTGGATGTTTTTTTTTATTCTTTTTGTAGTCCCCAAACTTTGTTCGCTGTAGTCTTTGCTAAGCTAACTTTGTAAAAGCTAATGTCTCCCTTTGCATTGAACTTTGAGCGTTTTACATTCAGAGATGCTGTTTATGTTCTCACAGCTACATTACACATTAACTAAAGTTTAAAAATGATATTGTAGTTGACCACCTCTTTATTTACATGAGAACGAGGAAACTGTATGTCATTTCCGTGTACTAAATTCTAAATTGAGCTATGCCTAGGTAAATTCAGATGTTCATTCTATGGCACATTTTAAGTTATCTAAATGTTTTGGGTAATTGTAATGAATTGCATAGTTTTTAGCTTGACTGTATTCTGCTGCTGATAACATGCTTTCATTGAGTTGCTCCTGAATCAGTGCAGGGTCACTTAGGTCCATCAGGTCAGCATCTGAACCTGTGCATTGCTTGTGGGGCTCCTGGTCCAGCTGGTCAGCCTGTGATCGCTGCTCCAAAACACAGGTGGGGACAGCGTTGATTTTTTGATCTGCTATTGGATACCATTGTTCATCATTTCTCATCTTTCTTGTGCAATTGTAAATTGTGTAATGATATGTGTGGTGATTGCAGACACAGATCCGCTTCGTAGCAGTCTTCTCTCAGTTTGGCGGTCAGCCTTGCACTGGAAGCTCAACTCGCACACAGACATGCATTTCGACTCAAGTCTGTCCCCTAGAGGAGGGATGCGGAGGACGCTTCCGATGCCAGTCTGGTAATTGTTTTGATATTTTTCTGTTTGTGTGTGTGTGTGTGTGTGTGTACGTGTTTTTGTGACATATCAGGACCTATGTCCTGTAACCTATGTAATGTACCCACTTTTTACAAAAATAAACGTGTGTGTGTGTTTAAAAGTAAATACACCCCAGGTTAATAACAATAATAATAATTACAATAATTCATTCATTTTCTTGTCGGCTTAGTCCTTTGATTAATCCATGGTCGCCACAGTGGAATGAACCTCCAACTTATCCAGCACGTTTTCACGTCTCAGTATCTACATTCAAAACAAACTCTGATATCCGAACCATTGCACTCACATGTACATACTACTACTACTACTACTACTACTACTACTAGTAATAATAATAATAATAATAATAATAATAATAATAATATCTTTTATTTATAGGCGCCTTCCAAAGCACTCAAGGACACCTTACAGCAGATCACAAGCACATCATAAAAATACAAGCAGTAAATATAACAATCAGCATAATATTAAACCAGCAAATCATTAAAAGCTATCCTTAACAAAAATGTATTTGTCTGAGATTTAAAATTGGAAATAGAGTCAACCTGCTGAATGTGCAAATGCATTGAATTCCATAACTTTGGTACTGTACAACTAAAAGTCCTACCACCAAATGACTTTATCTTAAAGTTTGTAACATAAGAATTCAGCTGAAGATAATCTCAGTGAGCACAAAGGAGTGTACAAATGAAGAAGATCAGAAAGATAGTAAGGGCCAAGCTATGAAAAGCTTTGTATGTTAAGAGGAGGATTTTGTATTGTATACAATAGTGAACAGGAAGTCAGTGTAGGTGAAAGAGAATTGAAGTTACAGTATATAATCAGAATTAAGCGAGCAGGTAACTATCCTAGCTGCTGAACTCTGAATTAACTTGTAGTCTATGACGTTGCTTGTCAGGGATGCCAGATAGGAGAGTTACAGTAATAAATCCGTGATGTAACCAAAGCATCTCTACTTTGTTGAGACGGTGAAGAGCGAAGTCTTGCAATGCTATGCAAATGAAAAAGGCAGAACGTGAGATATTACTATGAGAACCACACGAGAGCATGCTATCCAGTATAACCCCAAGTCTTTTTCACGTGGGTTGAGAAATGGACTGGGAAGTTACCAATAAACAGGGTAAAGGATTGAGCTTTGGATAAAACAGACTTAAAGCCAACCAGAAGGGCTTCAGTTTTACTGTCATTTAACTTTAAGAAATGATAAGTCATCTAATTATTAATCTTATGTAAACATTTAGCAAGGTCAGAAAGGGGGTGGGATATTGTTGGATTTGTGGAGATATAAACTTATGTATCATCTGCATAACAACAAAAATGTATGCTATAAGAACGAAATATATGACATAGAGGTAAGATATAAATAATAAATAAAAGTGGACCCAATACTGACCCTTGAAGAACACCATGAAGGACTGAAATTGGATCAGAGCATCTATTCTTTATCTACACAAACCAGAACCAGCGAAGTGCATTATCAGCTATTGCTATAGAAGCCAGTCATTCCATTAATTACATAATCTGAATTAATTTAGTGTACACTGCGCAAAAGTAGAAAACAGGAACAGGAATTTAGTCCATAAGTCAAACAAGAGAAAATTTAAACAAAATAGAAGAAATAAGAAAAAAAATAAATAAATAAAATATAAATAAATAAATAAAGAAAGAAAGAAAGAAAGAAAGAAAGAAAGAAAGAAAAAGAAAGAAAGCTCCGATTTCTCCCACAGTCCAAAGACTTGTGGTATTGGTGAATTGAAGAAGCTAAATTGAATAGTAGCTGTAAGGGCACCCGCTGTGTAAAACATATGCTGGATAAGTTGGCGATTCATTCCACTTTGGCAACCCCTGATGAATAAAGGGACTAAGCTGAAGGAAAATGAATGAACCCTTATAACCCTTTAACTGCGCCACCTAGAAAAAAAGCTATAGAAAAAATGTTTGGATTGCAATTCTTAACTCCTAAAGTTGCTAGTTAACACAATCAGTGCATTTTTTTAACACATCCCATAATTTCTAAAATATCAACCTCTACTTATATGATATGAAAACATTAGTTTTGCTTTTCTACGTGAAGTTTATTCATAAACTATTTTCGAGAGGAGCATGTGATTATGACTGAACACGGCTGGTTCTGCATTAGCATGCATGATCCACCAATCAGGCCATTTCTAACCCACTATAAAGAGCCAGGGTTTTTTCAATACAGTCATCTGCTATTTGAAGAATCCCCCCTTCCACCCCTACCTCTTCACCTTTCCCTCCATAGGGCAGCACCGTGGCCCAGTAACTAGCACTGTCGCCTCACAGCAAGAAAGTCACCGGTTCTAGTCATTTAACAGGCCGGTGGTCGTTTCTGTGTGTAGTTTGCATGTTCTTCCCGTGCTTGCGTGGGTTTTCCCCGGGTCCTCCGGTTTCCTCCCACATTCCAAAAACATGCACAACAAGTACAGTAAATTGATTAATCTAAATTTTGCACTACAGTTAATCTCTCACCATGCAGCATATCTTTTCATAGCATTAAATTTTTAGTCATCAGTTTTTATCAAGGGGGAGTTGTCGAGATCTACCTGAGCTCAAGGCTCCCCTCTCGCCCTCCAAATGGGAGGGAGCCCAGGGCTCAAGAACCTTTGAGCTCAGGGCTCCCTCCCGGGACAGCATGCCAAACTTGCTTATAATCAATCATCAGCTAAGTGCGAACTCTTGAAGTTTACCATAACGTGACAAATCAACCTTTTGGTTGAGCATGTTTTTAAAAAATTATTACAAACATACTAAATATTTGTCATGGCACAAAGTGACTTAGGGCTCTTAGATGGTACTATTAAAAAAAAAAAAAAATGCTTACCTTGCAAATTTTCCCCAAAAACAGTTCACATGTCAGGAGGGATTTCCTTGTTCTTTACTTCAATGGTAGAAGCAATGTTGTGACGAGTGCTGTTGATTGAGATAGTGACAACTAGTGAATTTTTTTGGTATAACATACTTCAACCAGATCAATTAGGCTCAATCAGGGTTAGTTAAGTTAGATACTCCTCTCCATAAGATATTCATTCATTCATTCATTCATTTTCTTGTCGGCTTAGTCCGGGGTTGCCACAGTGGAATGAACCGCCAACTTATCCAGCAAGTTTTTACGCAGCAGATACTCTTCCAGCCGCAACCCATCTCTAGGAAACATCCACACACACACTCATACACTACGGACAATTTAGCCTACCCAATTCACCTGTACCACATGTCTTTGGACTGTGGGGGAAACCGGAGCACCCGGAGGAAACCCACGCGAAGGCAGGAAGAACATGCAAACTCCACACAGAAACACCAACTGAGCCGAGGTTCGAACAAGCGACCCAGCAACCTTCTTGCTGTGAGGCGACAGCACTACCTACTGCGCCACTGCCTCGCCTCAATAAGATATAGTGAGTCAAAATATGGTCAACCATTTGGTCGAGCAGGCAGTTAATTGAAGGATGATTAATTTTTTTCTTCTTCTTAAATGTCACAGATTAAGTGCACTTGCAAATGTGTTTTACCTTTAAAATACGCATTGGATAGTTTATTTTTTTTCTCCTTTTCTTTTAAGGGAAATGTATCAGCCTGTCTCTGGTGTGCAATAGTGATCAGGATTGTGAGGATGGTTCAGATGAGCAGAGATGTGACAGTAAACCGATCTGTAAAATCTCTGAAAATACTAATCTGCAAAAACCTCCACCGAATGTAGAGATCACTGGTCAAGGGTGATGAGACCTAATAAAGTTATTTGTCTCATATTCAATACAAAAATGCATTTGTATACACTCTAAACCCTAGTGCATAAAGCCACTAAGATTGTGTGTATGTTTGCACTACAGGTTTGACGCGGCGAAGAGAGAAGCCAGAGGTACTGTCATCAACACTAAGAGCTTTGGGGGTCTGTGCCAAAAGACCTTCAGTGGAGACCACAAAGACTTTTATAGACTTCCTCAAAGTGTTCTCAGCTATTCTTTTCAAGCAAGTGAAATATTATCATTATCATAAAAAAAGTAATATAATGAAAATATGTTACATTTTAAATAATAAATTGGGCTTCAACTGTATACACTCACCGGTCATTTTATTAGGTACACCTGTCCAACTGCTTGTTCATACAAATTTCTATTTAGCCGATCACATGGCAGCGACTTAATGCATTTAGGCGTTTAGACACGGTCAAGACAATCTTCTGCAGTTCAAACATAGCATTAGAATGGGGAAGAAAGGTGATTTAAGTGACTTTGGATGAAGCATGGTTGTTGGTGCAAGACAAGCTGGTCTGAGTATTTCAGAAACTGCTGATCTTTTGGGATTTTCACACACAACCATCTCTTGGGTTTAGAGAGAAAAAGGTCAGAAAAAGAGAAAATATCCAGAAAAGCTGCAGTTTTGTGGGCACACACGCCTTTTTGATTCTAGAGGTCAGAGGACCTGAGTATTGTTGCTGACCATGTCCATCCCTTTATGACCTCAGTGTACCAATCTTCTGATAGCTACTTCCAAAGGGACAACGCACCATGTCATGCACCAGCGCGAATCATCTCAGAGTAGTTCCTTAAACATGACAATGAGTTCACTGTACTCAAATGGCCTCCATAGTCGCCAGACTCAATCTAATAGAGCACCTTTGGGATGTGGTGGAACGGGAGATTCAGATCATGGATGTGCAGCCGACAAATCATGCAGCAACTGCATGACGCTATCATGTCAATATGTACCAAAATCTCTGAAATATTCCCATTGTACCTTGTTGAATCTATGCCACGAAGGATTAGTTCTGAAGACAAAAGGGGCTCCAACACGGTACTAGTAAGGTGTACCTTAAAGTGGCCGGTGAGTGTGTATATTGGAAACACATTTTTCTATCATACAATTTCAAGTTAACATCTTGAAATTCTTACAATGTATTTTGAGTTCTTTTATGATTTTTATTATTCTGTTGTTCTGACTTCAGTTATACTGAGTTAACATTTAACAATTTGTTTTATTTCATACAATTTCAAATTAATGTCTAAAAACAGATTCCGACAAAGCCATCCATAAAAGAAAACTTGTCAGTAATTTTAGAGCAGAATCTTTCTGTAAACTTTTTCTTCCAGTTAGTTTAGCTTTAGTTTTCACTTGTTTTGTGTTTCCAGGTAACAGCAAAAAATGATTTTACAGATGAATCCTTTGCCAGTTCGTGGCACTACTTACACCACTATGAAAAACATGAAAAAACTACAGGCACAGACTATGGCCACGATGATTATGTCTTCCATGATGAACTGTCACAGTCAAAGGTACTGTATAATATTGATATGTACGTTCATTATTGCCTTATGTTAATTTATTCAATATCTCACAATTCATCCAGGATTAGGACTGAGCTCTGGTTATTTAACTACAACCCCAAATCAGAAAATGTTGGGACAGTATGAAATACACAAATAAAAAAAGAAAGTAGTGATTTCTAAATTTACTTTGACTTGCAGTCAACACAACAAACATTATTTAATGTGTTCCTCGTGATTTTTTTAATTTTTATTTTCAAAATAAACGCATATTCCAATTTTGGTTCTTGCAACACATTTAAAAAAAGTTGTAACAGTAAAGCATTTACCACTTTGTTATGTTGCCATTTCTTTTCACAACACTTAAAAGTTGTTTAGGGACTGAATACACCAAGTGATGAAGTGTTTTTGGTGTAATTTTTATCCCATTATTCCTACAAACAAGTCTTAATGTGAGCAACAGTATGGGGTCTTCGAAGTTGCATTTTGCACTTCAAAATGTGACACACATACTTTAATGGAGACAAGTCAGGCCTTCCTCCACAGCCAGGACTTTGTGCCGTATGCAACGTGTGGTTTTTCATTGTCTTGTTGAACCATGCAAAGCTTCTGAAAAAGAAGCCAGAATATTGTGCTCCAAAATATCTATGTACCTTACAGTATTAATGGTGCCATTACAGCCATGGCAGACACTGGCTTTTGGACTTGTTGCTGGTAACCGTCTGAATGATAATTTTCTTCTGTGGTCCAGAGCACACAGCATCCATTTCCTAAAAACCCGAAATACTGATTCATCTTACCAGAGTACACATTTACACTGTGTAATGGTCCATCCCTGATGCCTCTTAGCCCAGAGAAATCAACGGGGCTTCTGGACACTGGTAACATAGGGATTCCTTTTGGCACAGTACCGTTTTAACTGGCATTTGTGGACGTAACTAAGTATTGTGTTTCTTGAAAAAGGTTTGCCAAAGTAGTTTTGAGCCCATGTTGTGATGTCACTTATGGACAAATGACGATTATTGATGCTGTGCTGCCTGAGTGATCAGAGATCATGGCTGTTCAGCTTAGGCTTGCGCCATTGTCCTTTAAGCACTGGAATTCCTCCATAAAATTCCCGAAACGTTTCATTATTTTATGCACAGTTAAAGGTGAAATATCCAAATGTCTCCCTATGTTTCTTTGAGGAACATTGTTTTTAAACATTCCAATACATTTTGTATGTGTTACTTGCCAAACTGGTGAACCCTGGCCCATCTTTGTTCCCAAAGGACTAGACCTTTCATGGATGCTGCTTTCAAATCATAATTACAATTTACCTGAATACTAGCCCTAAATTGCTCCTGTCCCAACTTTGTTTGGATTGTGTTGCATTTTTTTAAACGAAACAGCTTTATGACAATACAACAATAATTGTGTAAAATTGTGTAAAAGTGAATTGACAGCAGTGCTGAGAGATAATGCAAACACACAGTATTTACATAATTACGATCAGATGATTCTTTACTGCTTATTTTTAAAGACATTTTGGTTCTGTTTCTTTTGTTTTTAAACTAGTGGTGTGGATTTGAGAAAATTTTCATCAACTTGCTTTTTACTTTTGTTTTTGAGATCGAACATAATATACTAACCGTCTAAATAGCAAAGTTAAGTCGAAATTAATTCAAATGTAATCAAATCAAAGAGATAAACAGAATCAGAAACAGAATTCACTCAAAAAATTATGTTTGCTGCTTGTTTAACCACTTATTTAAAATGAGTTGAGACAACACAATTCTTAAGTTGCTTTCGAGACAACCTAATTGTTTTTATGCTAAATCCACTTTTAAAATCCACCATAAACTTTTACCAAAAACAATTAGGTTAACTTAATCTATTTGTGTTGGGACAACATGAAGGAATCGAAACCCAGCATTTTAACAGTGTACTGCATAAAGAGTCAAAAGCACAATATTAAATAGTTGCTTACTTAAATATAAACAGCTATTATATTTTTATATAATATTATACAGTATTATATAACAATACATAAAATGGCTCAGAGATTAACTATGTTATGCATTAGCTATTGTTAAATTGAATCTTTTTTTTTTTTTTTTTTTATTGTTTTACTAGTTGGCCTTGGCTTTAAGACAATTAAAATATATGCCAGGTATCACATTTTCATAGCAGATAATGGGATATATGCACATCTAGGGCTTTTTTCAGCCACAAATAAACTCCCGTTGAAAGGTAATTGTGACTATTTTTCAATTTTATACAGTTCCTTTTACGGAATGTACATTGTAATGTAATCAAAATACCTTCAGTTAAATATATGTTAGCTTTCATTGAGTAGTTCAAGCATAAAAGGAGATGATAGACCATGTAAACTCTAGCGCCAACAGTGGCAGCAGAAATACATCTGAAAATTAAAATACATCTTTATATTTTAAGGAAATGGTGGGAAAAATGGAATTTAACACAGAGCTTGTTGTCCATTCTGAGACCCACTTTATATCATACATCTATTGAGCAGTGAAGATATATTTAAAGAAAGCATATTGTAAACATGGAAATTTTGTTATGGAAAGAAAATGGCTGTCTGAAAATTAAACGTCTGTGTTCATTTACCCATTGTTTTTACATCTTAAACATTTTTTTAGTTTGCATCTTAACAATCCAGATTTTTTCTTCTCCATTAGACAAAAGTTAAAGCATTATCTCCAAGTAATAAAATATTCAGAGATTGTTAAGTTTTTTATAAGTACCCACAATATTAGTATTGTGCATACTTATTTAGATTAGCTTAGATTAGATTAGATTATATTAGATTAAACTTTATTGTCATTACACATGTACAAGTACAATGCAACGAATGCAGTTTAGGTCTAACTAGCAGTGCTATAAGGTCTAATCAGCAGTGCAATAAAGTGCAGTTATAGAAAAACTATGGTGACATTTACAGATGGATGTACTATCAACATTATATATAGGTTGTATTAGCTATAAACAGAGATTTACAATAGACAAATAAATGTACAGGTTGCTGTTATTAATCAGACGTGTGCAGATAAATAAACATAATTACAGATGTATATGTGCAGTGGGTGTGTACATAATTACAAATGTCCATGTGCAGTGGGTATGTACAGTTCAAATAAGTAAATCAGTGTAATGTAGTGCAATGAATATGTGCACATTTTTAATGTGCAAATGTTAAATAGTGCAGTCAGTGAGGGGCAGACTTCAAGAGGGAGACAGCTCTGGGGAAAAAGCTGTTCCTCAGTCTGCTGGGTTTTTTCCGGGGGAGACTGTGCCTGCTAAAAGGCAGGAGTGAAAACAGTCTGTAAGCTGGGTGAAAGGTGTCCTTCAGAATACTGTGTGCTCGGCGCAGACAGTGTTTTCTCTGGATTTCCTCTATGACTGGCAGTGTATCATCAAAACATATTGTATTACAGAATACCTGCACATGTCAAGTTAACAACTACAGTCTCTTTATTTGCAGTGGCTTTCGATTATTTTGATATCATTGAGAGCAACACAAGCCAACCCATTGAAATAAAACTTTGTTCACTTTTCAGTCCAAAAATCTGATGATTATAAAGAGTGATGTGGAAGTGGGCCAGTTCAAGAATAAGGACCCAGAATATCTGCCACTTTCTGAAGACTTCTGGAAAGCTCTGGTGGCGCTGCCTGTTGTATATGATTATGCTGCCTACCGCAATGTGCTGGAGAGATTTGGCACCCATTATATTTCAGAAGGCTCTCTTGGGGGCCATTTTAAATTATACCTGATGGCCAGCGAAGATGTTATTTCTAAACTGAGTAAGTGTCACACTTGTTCATTTCACTCTAGATAAGTGTTTATTATCCTAAATCTGCCCATTGATTTATTACTTTTTACACAGAATCTGAGAAAAGAGACTATGAGGATTGCGTTGTAACAAGCCATTCAGTCATGTTTTTTATCCGGTGGTCCACAAAAACTTGCAAGACCGACACTATTGATGAAACCAAAACATTTTGTAAGTTATGTAGGACAAATAAAGCTAAATCAAACCATCAATTCTTGCTTCTAGTTTTAGGAGACAATGACACTAATTTGTGCATGAAAAATATTATTATTATTATGCAATATACACTATAGAGCAATGTATTATACTGATGTTCAATTCTGTGTCCCAAACAGATAAAAGCATACCAGAAAGTGATATGAAAACAGATATCATTGGTGGAGATCCTGGATTTATTGCAAAATTGTCAATGTTTTACAAATATGATGTAAAAGAGAATGCCAGGACTTTTTCCCAGTGGTCTGGATCACTGAAGTACTATCCACGCATCATCAAATCTAAGGTTTGGTTGTGAAAACAAATGTTAACATTTGGTAATTTTATACATAAGAGGTCGTTAACATAATAAAGAGTGTAATAAATTGATCATGAGATAAAATGCTAATGAAATACAGCATTTTTAGGACTTTTAACAGTTAAAAGTCAGTTACAACAGGACAAACTGACAGTGCTGTTTACCTGTTACACCTCATGTGCTTTATTCAGTGTTAAATGCTTATAACGTGAGTTTGAATGACATTTTACATGACATTTACTACTGAAAGCAGCAGCAGTTCACCTGAGATCTTGAAAAAAAATATAAACCATTTGAAATTAAACTTCAGAACTGCGATTTAAAACAAACACATTCAGCATGTGCATTCAATAATATTAAATAATTATAAACCTTACCAATTTGTGAGTGAGAGCATATTCTGTGCTTCTGAATGGCTGTATTTAAATTTCTGTCATGTTTCGTCTGGTACAAACAACCAAATTGCTTATCACTGCAAATCTTGTCACGCAGCGCGTTGTTATGACACGGGGTTACAATGTAACCTGCTCACCTAATGTTTACGTTCGTAATATTTACATTATTTGCTAATTAATAACCTCATGTGAAACTCTGAATCTGCTTCTCATTTTGGAGTCTGCTACTTTCCTCCGGAGGTCGCATTTCGGTCACAGACATATGCTTTGAGAACCTTTCAGAATGAATGAATAAAATATATATATATTTTTTTTCTAGCAAGGCAACCCAGGTAGCTGAAATATAATTAGCTAAACAGGCATTGGACAGGTTAAAAGAACCAAAACAAAAACAGCCGTTCCATAACAGAAAACACATTTTCAGAGCAGAGTTATGCTTTAGAATAGTCAAAAACGTATATACAGTGCCTTTAATTAATGGTTTGTTAATCATGACCTCAACAAAAGTGTTACCCAATAAATAAATAAGCAGAAGTAGCCAATGATAAGTACCAGTAGATACTAGTCACTAGCATGAAAAAAGACATTGCTGTGTTTTATAAATTTAATTTAAATGGCTTGCCACTATATCAGAGGATGAAGTCATCTTGAGTATTGTTGATCCATATTTAACAAAAAGCGCATGAAGTAATGTGACCTGTTTTCCATTATACATTTAAATAAAGAACCATTGAGTAGATCACTTGACTATTAACAAGCGTACAGGAGAAACAAGTATTATGATTTGCATGAAAATGTTGTATGAGAGTTGTTATGAGACTGAATGTGTAAATTTGTGATTTGTGCAGCTCAGATCTCTGCATGAACTGGTGAAAGAAGTGCCGTGTGCAGGGCTGAAAAGGTTTCTCTTAAAGCGTGCAATTGAGACGTACCTCACAGAGAAACACTCATGTCAATGCAGAGAATGCCAGAATAATGGGCTGCGTGTGCTGGATGGAAACGTCTGCAAGTGTGTGTGTAAACCGGGAACTAGTGGCCAAGCCTGCGAATATGGGACAGCATATGATGAACAGCCAGGTATTAAGTTATAGGAATTACAGTTGAGTCAGAATTATTGGCATTAAAACAAACACAATTTTATTTTGAATGTTTTTTTTTTTCCACTATACTTCAATATAACACCTTATTTAAAAACCCAAAAATCCAAAATTGTTGAAAAACATTTTTGCCTGCAATGTCTTGCCTTAAAAATCTTATATTACACAGTATATTTAGTTAACTACATGAGGGCAACTTATTTACACATTATTGGTGAATTACTTATCTCTCTTTCTTTCTTTCTTTCTTTCTTTCTTTCTTTCTTTCTTTCTTTCTTTCTTTCTTTCTTTCTTTCTTTCTTTCTTTCTTTCTTTCTTTTAGCTTTAAATATTTACACTACATTTAAATGACCATGCAAAAATCTTCGCCATAAATGATTTCGCCATTAATTATTTTCAATTTAGGGAACAAAGTCCTGCCTAAAAAGTTTTATTTGAATCAACTGAACTTTTATAGTCATCTCAACTTGACTCAATCAACTGACCTAAAATATAAATAAATAAAAAAACGTTGAAACCTAAAATTAATTGAAATTAACTGAATAAAATGAGTTGAAGTAACAAAAAAGTGTCAATGAATTTTAATAATGGATAAGGACAATAATTATGAAAGTTACTAAACACACAACCGATTGTTTGTAAAGGTGAATTTGTTGTGTTTGTGTTTCAGGAGTGATTCATGGAGACTGGGCCTGCTGGTCTTCATGGAGCAGCTGCAGTGGAGGACAGAAGAGTCGCAGACGCTCATGCACCCGTCCTGCTCCATCAGGTGGACGCGACTGCATTGGGAACACTGAAGAGAGGACAGCCTGTGAAGATGAAGAGGAATTAAACCACCTGCGGTGAGGAGGCTCTACAGCCAGTTCAACATGAATATAATGTAGGCTTATAACATCCTTAACATTATTAGTGGGCTATTATGTATAAACAAGGGGTGACAGCAACATAAAAAAAACATAAACGCCAGTAAAACTTTTACGAATCAAAAATAATGCAGTTATTAGCAACACAGGCTCGTTCTAAAAACTTAGTCCTATATATATGTTTCTGGAGATTGCAAATTATGTAGCTGCATTATGTAAGGCTTCATTTTTTTTTTAAATGAACGATATGGGTTGGTATGATGCCGTTCCTTTTTGTGCTTACCTACCTGACCACTTACCTCCGTATGAATGGCTTTCCCGCTTGTACAGTTTTCCAGTTTGTCCAGTAAGCTCTCTATGAAGGTCGACGGACTGGAGATGCATAGAGGGGTTGACCATGGCGGGGTTTGAGTCTGGTGAAGAACAGTTCCAGAAAGCGGGCAAGACAAAAACAGAAGCCAAAAAAATAAATAAAAATAATACTGAGAATGTGTAAAAATCAGATGAGGGCTTTTCTTTTTCTGCATTGCTTTTGAAAATTATTGGTTGGGTTTAGGGAAGTGGGTGGGCAGGTCAATCAATATAATTAGTTGGGTTTAGGGAAGGAGAAGGGTGGGTCAGTCAATCAAAAAATGTACACAGCGGCGTCTGGTGGATTCGCGAAAACAAAAACTGCAAAAAAAAAAATGTAGCTCCTGAGATTTTGCTCTCTCCAGAAGTGTATATAGAGGTACGTTTTCAGAATGAGCTTGGGTTGGTTGTTAGGGTAATGGTGTTGACAACAATTGTTATTTGACAACAGCAGACCTTGGAATGTTGCAACTGACCAAACAGATTACAGCATTTTAGAAAGCTATTCAAAATAGAAATACTTTTCAGATTTTATAAAGAATGTTTTCCAAATATAATGTGTGGAATCATTCTACAAATTAATAAATTCAAGAGAATGTAAAAATGGCATGCTTTTCCAAATATCTCCAAATAAATAAGTGATGTTTAACAGAGCAAGGACATTTAAAAAACAACAACTTGGTATTATATTTTTCCTCCGGAGAAGTCGTACTGAATTGAAGCTAGTTTAAAAACATATGCCAGAATAGTTGTTGGTTCATTCTGCTGTGGTGACCCCAGATTAATAAAGGGACTAAGCTGAAAAGAAAATGAATAAATTAATGTATTTTGATTAAATATACTGTAAGTAATTAGAGGCTCAATGTAAAAAAAAATTTCCCTGCTTTATGGTTTTGTGGAAACAGATCCGTTTTACTTTGTAGGATTATTTAATTCAAAATAACATGCGTTTAAAATACAATAACAACAAAGCAACTAAGTCCCTTGATTATTATGCAGGAATGAGAGTATACTTCCTGGCGAAATCGACCTAAAAAACAGCAACTTTTCATTTTCTATACAATTTTGTACACAAAGTAATAACAAAAGTGTCCAGATTTATTTGTTCATTCATTTTCTTTTCAGCTTAGTCTCTTTATTAATCTGGGGTCACCACAGCGGAATGAACCGTCAACTTATCCAGCACATGTTTTTATGCAGTGGATGCCCTTAAAGCCACAACCCATCTCTGGGAAACATCTATACACACTCACTCACACTTACACTACGGACAATTTAGCCTATCCAGTTCACCTGTACTGTAGTCTTTGGACTGTGGGGGAAACCGGAGCACCCGGAGGAAACCCACGCAAACACAGGGAGAACATGCAAACTTCAAACAGAAACGAAAACAGCAGCTGAGGCTCGAACTAGCAACCTTCTTGCTGTGAGGCGACACCACTACCTACTGCATCGCCAGTGTTAAGATTTAAATAGGACAAATTATCAAAACTTTTTTTTTTTTTTTTGCATTTTTTGAAGTGAGATGATAATGGTCTAATCCAATTCAAGGATTTATGCTAAGCTAAGCTAAGCTAAAAGTGTTCCCATCAGACCTAGGGCCTTATACATTTAAATTCAAACTCCAAACTTTCAGTTCTCATTCTTTGTGACATCAAGCAACTTCTCTGCACAAAGGATCATGGGTGCCTGAAGTGTTCATCAGTTGTACCCTTCAAAATCCTTCATTCCCAAGGGCCTTTCGAAGTGACCAGTTTTCAACTCTTCAGTTTGAAACAACACTTTAGTATGGTGGTCATTTTTTATTTTTATCTGGTGTCTTTCGAAGGTCTTTCGAATGACTATGAAGTCAGATTTTTTTTCTTTTTAAAATATTTCCCAAATGATGTTTAATAGAGCAAAGAAATTCACACAGTATGTCTGATAATATTTTATCTTGTGGAGAAAGTCTTATTTGTTTTATTTTTGCTAAAAGCAGTTTTTGATTTTTAAAAACATTTTAAACAGGTCAAAAGTATTAGCCCCTTTAAGCTTTTTTTTTTTTTTTTTTTTTTTTTTTTTTGATCATCTACAGAACAAACTATTATGTTTAGAAATGTGTTGAAAAAATCTCTCTCTGTTAAACAGAAATTGTGGAAAAAATAAACAGGGGGGCTAATAATTCTGACTTCAACTATATTCCACTTGGAACCCACCTTGAATGTGCATGGGATCCTGCATGCACATAATTTCATACATCTGAATTATTTTGCACATACGCATATTTACAGCTTTGTTCGTATGCATGAACTAAATGCAAGTCTTTGTACATGAGGTCCCTGGAGATCGGCTGAATGGATTCAAAAGTGGTAAAACTCAACTGTTTAACTCTAGGGGATTTGTAAAATGAGCCTATTTCCAAAATAAAGTAAAGTGGTCCTTTAAGACTATTTTTAAGAGCATTTCTGAGACATTTCTGGGCTGTGAATGTTACTGTGCATCAACACTGCCACTGTGTGGAAACTCACTGACTTACTGATTCTGGCCTGTTTTCAGCTCAATGGAGCCTCACTGCTTTGATGATTCGATTAAACCCAGGGAAAGCTGTAAAACGCCGCCCTTCGTTCCTAATGGCTTTGTTTTGGTAATAATGATTATATGAAATGTTCTCTTTTCTGATGTAGTTAAATGTGTTTTTGTGTGTAACGATGTTATTCTCCTGTGCTAATTGCAGTATCCTAAAGATGTGTATCCGGTGGGCAGTAAGATTGAGTATACTTGTATCGAAGGCTATCATTTGATTGGCAATGCTATAGCTAAATGTCAAGAAGATCTGAACTGGCTGCAGTACCCAGTGGAGTGCAAGAGTAAGTGTGGAAATGAGGTTTTTGGATTGACACTTTCAGCGACTCCTGATTTTACTTTATTTGTTTTTTGGTGGTGTGTTTATTCAGTCAGTCAGTATTGAGGATTTTTAATATTTAAATTCTTCATTTATTATAAATCATGTAAATATTAAAATATAAAAATAGACAATATGATAAGTATAGGTTTAATATAATGGGTATAGTATTTTAAAACTTTTATAAATTATAAACAATCAGTATTATACATAATTACTGATTAATTCATCACCACTTTGAGATTTAATTTCAAATAATTCATATTTCAAACAATTGGTTAATTATACTAAACAATATATATATATATATATATATATAGGCATAAAATTATTATTTTTAAAATAAATAAAATATAAATAATAATGCAGTCTATTTTACATAATATACAGTCATTTTAATTGAAAGAAAATTAAAAATAGTGTTTCATAAACAATAAATTAATTAATTTAAATAATACTTATTATTGCTATATATTATATTACATTATTTAAAATAATCATGTTCTATGCATATATTTATTTATTTTATTTATTTGAGATAAATCTCAAAACTTTGAGATGTTTTTTTTCATAGGAATGTAATTTAAATATATATATAATAATTATAGTTTTGTAAGATGTATTTGATCATATATTAATCTAATATTTTAGTTTATTTGTAGTGTTTTAATATGTTTTAAAATGAGAAACCATACTTCAACCATTAAAACAGTTAATATTACAATAGACATGTTAATATATTAATGTAATTTATACTATTACAATACTGTTTCTATTTTCCATTGATGAGTCGAAGCTGGAAGGGCATTTGCTGCGTAAAAACATGCTGGATAAGTTGGCTGTTCATTCCGCTGTGGTGACCCCAGATAATTAAAGGGACTAAGCCGAAAAGAAAATGAATGAATAAATAACTTTATACACATACTGACAATATATAAATATATATTTGAAAAACCTAATTAATCATCAATGACAAATTTATTTGAGATCATATAATAATCTAAATATGGAATTATATTTAAATATTGTTTATCATTTTATTTGATATACTTTATATTATATCATTTAAATGTTTTATACATTTTATAACAATAAAAAGTGATATATATTGAAATTGTATTTATTTTTTTATAAAACAAAATATTAAAATTCTTGTTGTCTTAAATTTTTTAGTTGAATCAAAAAAGCTTTTTTAGTTATCTCAACTTAACTTTGCATAACTTAAAAAGTTTAGTTGAAACCCTATTAACTTATTAAGTTAAGGTAACATAAGGTACAAAAAAAATAAGGTAACAGGTAAAATTAAGTTAGCAAATTTGTTGTCATGACTTTTTGGTATATAATTTGTTTGTTTTTTTATAGTATATAAAACATATTGCTTTGCTGTCTGCAGAAACACAATGTGATCCTCCTCAGCTTCCTCCAGATGTCACCGCAAACCCCTGGAAACTGAACTATAACATCGGTGAAGCCATTGCTTTGTCCTGCCCTGAAGGCAAAGTCAAAGAAGGTCTGGATGAGATTCAGTGCAATGCTGGCCTTTCCTGGTCACCACAACCAAAAAACACCAAGTGTCTCACAGGTACAAAACTAACCCTAATCCATTTTTACAGCATTTACTCAACTGTAACATGAATGGGAAAATCATTGATGCATAATAATAATGTAAAGGAAATTACATTGTTCACAGCAGTTTTAAAGCCGACGGTTGTGCCAGTGAAATGCCAGCCATGGGAGAACCTGGCTAAGGACAAATGTGTGTGTAAAGTTCCTCACCAGTGCAAGTATGTTCACCAACACTAAACAGAGAAACATCTTTCTCTTAATTTTCTTTCATTTGAAGGGATTGTTCACCGAAAAAAATAAATAAAGGTCCTTTCATTATTTATTTAGATTCATTTGATGAAAACCTACTTGCTTGTCTCTGGTAAGAAGATGAAATGCTGGTAGCTGGGACCCATAGAATTTCATAATATTTTTTTTCGACTATGAAAATCAATAGATGCTGTCAACCAGCATTCTTTTTTAGTGTTAAACAGAAAGAAAGAAACTCAAATAGGTGTAAAAGTACATAAGGGAGAAAAAAAATTATGTGGTCATTTTTATTTTAGGCGACCCCTTTAATCATTTTAAGTTTACATTATCATTTTCTGCCCTAAATGTGACGACTCTGCCAAAACCTAAAAGTCCCAGAAAAATGCACATGCACATCTGGACAGACCATAGGTGGTGCTATAATAATAAAAAAAAAAATGTATGTATTTGTCTGTCCAAAGACATGAGGGACAGGTGAATTATGTAGGCTACATTGTCTGTAGTGTTTGAGTGGGGATGTTCCCCAGAGATGGGTTGTGGCTGGAAGGGCATCCACTGCGTAAAAACATGCTGGATAAGTTGGCGGTTCATTCCGTTGTGGCGACTCAGGATTAATAAAGGGACTAAGCCGAAAAGAGAATGAATGAATGAATGTTTCATATAGACACGTTGTATATAGTACAGACCATTTCAATATGGTAATGTCATTGGCCCTAGAATATTTCCTGCCTGTTATCATACAATATTATAACTGTAATAAGAGGCAATTCAATCATATTTTCACGTTAAAACAGCTGTCATAACATTGACATTCATATAGGAATGAAAAATATAAAACAGAACATACATTAGGACCATTACATTCCTCAAAATGGTCTCTTTAGTGGACACTGTATATAGTTCACAATAGACACAATGTTACTACAGTAAATGAATGGTACAGTGACACTGTTGGTTTAAGTAACAATTCACACCATTTACTAATAGCTTATTACCTGCTTATTATAAAGATATTAACTGTTTATAACTAGGATCTTATTTTACATCCATAATCCTACCCAATACCTACAGTTAACCAAACTACTAGTTTACTAATTATTGACAAAGACTATAGAACACACATGGCGTATCACTGATATACAGTGGTTTTGAATGTGGCAAAAATGTAAAGGTCAACATGGCGAATGAAGCCCCACACTTTCAGAAATAAAGGTACAAGAGTTGTCACTGGGGTGGTACTTTTTCAAAAGGTACAAATTTGTACCTAAAAGGTCCATATTAATACCTCAAAGGTACATATTAGTTCCTAAAAAGTACAAAAGTGTTAAATTTCTTAAATTTCTCAAAACTCTTAAATTTTTTTAGTACTAATATATACTTTTAAGGTACCAATATGGACCCTTTAAGTACAAATGTGTACCTTCTGAAAAGGTACCAACCCAGTGACAACTCATGTACCTTTATTTCTGAGAATGCACCTTCTAGTAGAGGAGTCAATCAGCGATCAATATAAACTGACGACTCTATGGGGGATAGTCCTAATATGAAATGTAATCATAAGCTTGGCACGCCATTTTGTAGAATTTGATGTTTCCCCATTCAGACAAAATGCCCAGGCATACTGCCTGAGAGGCTTTTCAAAGACGACCGCCTAGTGAAATGATTTGCCTTAAAGGGACTTTGTTATTAATAAGCAGCCAATTAGCAGAATACTGAAAATCTTAGCTAATGGTTTGTTAATAGAGTGAATTGTATATTAAAATAAAGTTTGACCTGGCTTTTGTTTTACAGGCATTAGGGAATATGGATGAGCCCTTTCTAATAGAACACAAACACATACTCATATTACTCATATTTACATATTACTAAAAAGGAGGCATTTCCCAGCAGACACTTATCAGTTTGATATCAAATAATTGTCAAGATTCGATCCATGACTTTCCATCAAGAGTTAACTTGGTGGATTGTGCTTGGATAAACGCTGTTATTGGCTGTACTGGTCTATTGTTTTCTGTCCTTCACAGGTCTTCTTTAGAGGTGTGTGTGACTGATGAGAAACGCGGTCGGACACAGAGGCTGAGTGTGTGTAAAGTACAGGCCATGCGGTGTCTGGGTCATCAGTACAGCCTCGCTGAAGACTCCGCCTGTCAGTGGACACAACCATCAACCAATAACTGTACACGCTGCACACTCGGAGAAACATGCGACGGTGAGAGGGACCAAAATAACCACACAACATAGCAGGATTTAAGTCAGTATGGGGTTAGGAACATAAGGTAGAGGGTTTTTTTCAGCTAAGAGTGGATGAACAAGAAATTCTATTGGGTTTAAAATATATTCAGAATATATCAGGACTCTTTTTATGTTTTTGAAAGAAGTCTCTTATGTTCGCCAAGACTAAATTTGTTTGATAGAGTAACAACATAAGTATTGTGAAATATTTTTAGAATCCGAAATACCGTAATTGTCTATTATTTGATCTCTGTGAAAAAATCCTGAGAAAAATGATATCATTTTTCAATTTATTTCTACATGTTTGAGTAATATGCAATTAAAAACAAACAAACACACATGCCGAAGACATTTCTTTCAATCTGAAAATAAAAAAGCTGTTTTTTGAATGAAATAACAAAATTGTGTTATGGTTTCTAGTGTGTTTATATTCTTTTAATACAATGGATGTAATTTTTTAACTTAGAATAGCTAAGAAATCAATATTTTGTGGAATAACCCGGATTTTCGAATACAACAAAAGAAGTAATGTAATATTCTGATAGGTTATTTTCTGAGGAAAAAATGTCTTATATGGCAGTGTATATGTGTATATATATTTGGAAAAAGTGTTAGCAGACCTTTATAAAAATAAATCAAATATTACAATTTTACTCAAACCCATACCTACATAATCCAGTCAATCCAGATTCTCTTAATTATTTCCATATTAGATTGCTTTCTGAAATATCACAATACTAAATACTGGATTAAAGATGCTGAAGAAAAAAAAATGTTTTGTCATCACAAGAATAAATACCAATTTAAAATATACATAAGCATAAAACAGCTATTGAAATTGATTATATTTTGCAGCAATACTTCAGTTTTTCATCAAATAAATGCAGTCTTAATGAGCATCAGAGACATATCAAAAACAAAATAAATATTTTTAAAATCTTTGACAATAGTAACTTAATAAAAAATAACATAAATAACACAACACGATAAAACATTTTACAACATAAATTATTAAACCAAATGTAAATGCGACATAATTTGTTGTTATCCATGTGTGTTGTTTTCAAAATTCACATTTTAAAGTGACTAAATTTCATCCAAAAATAATTAAGGTTTCTTCAAGTAATGATTGGAAACTGCCTTTTTTAAAGGGGTGGTCGACTACGATATCATATTTTAAACTTTAGTTGATAGGTAATGTAGAGGTGTGAATATAGACAACATCTCTGAATGTAATACGCTCAAAGTTCAATACAAAGGGAGACATTGGCTTTTTATTGTTAGCTTACAAAGCCTACAGTAAATAAAGTTTAGGGACTACAAAAATACATCCAAGTTATTGAGATCTCAAACACTTTAGGTTTTGTGTATTCACCACATGCACATACATTGTTATAGCAGAGAAAGCTAAATGCCATCTAAACGCTGCAATTTCCACAGAGCTTCTTCTGTTTCTGTATTTGGGCTTCCAAAGGACACAACACGAAGAGAGAAGTGTTTACAATTTAATTATGCTCCAGAGAATTATAAATATATATATATATATATATATAGCTAACATTTGACAAAGGACAGCTTCCAGAATCTCTCCCAGTTCAGTACTGGATTCGGCTAAAAACTCCTCAAAGAAGGAGCAGCTTCAATTACATTAGACAAAGCTGTGGATTGTGAGCCACAACCTGTTTTTTTTTTTATTTGTTGAAATTGAACAGTTACATGCATAGTTTCTAGTGTTAATAGTATGTTGTAGCAAGGGCGTAAACAAGAATGTAAACATGAGAAATGCTGTATGGCACATTTAACAATTTAGCTACAAATTCATATATATCCATAAATCCCTTTAAACACCCACAACCTTCACCAGCACTGCAGTGTCTCGCTTTGTGGCCATTTTTCCTGCGTTCTATCTCAAAAAACAAACTCACAAAATATATGTAAATGTTTCATATTACTTACACATGCTTATTCCGAATATATGTGAAAGACATGTAATACATTGAGTAAGATTTTGTTTGGTGAGAATTACACTCTGGACCACCCCTTTAAAACAAACAAACAAAAAAATAAATTAATGTTCCTGAGCGAACATGTGGCTTGAAAATGTAAAACTTTAAAATAACTGTATTCTGATATGTGTCTAGATCTGGACATGTAGCGGGCACATTGACATTAAAATTACATAAAAAAAAACTATTAAAAAATGTGAATCGATATGATGCCAGGCCACCAGATTATCGATACAAAAATTGCAAGAAAGGTTTTATTCATCTCAAAGCATCAATTCCAAATTTACACTGGAATTTGTATCCCTTGTATGTAAACTAAAGTGATATCAAAACAAATTCAAATTGAAATCTAAAAATGGGCTTAAAAATATATCAAAAATCAATCACAAGACATTCCTGTCATTTATCATTGATGCCAGTGTTAGATGTTTGATTTGACTGTTTTCACATGGTCGATTTGCATTTTTGGTGTGTTTTTTTTAATGTCGTTTTGACATTAAGGTGCTCGCTGGGATGTGGTTGGGAAAAGGTATATTATTCTGTAATGTTTGGCTGTAACAATTGTGTTGTTTCAGAGCAAACAAACAGCTGCCGTTGTAAGACGAGTGAGGATTGTTCATCTCCGGACACCTGGATCCACGTGTGTGTTAAGCAGGACAAAGCGTCTGCTCCAGTGACAATGACTGAGTGTGAGGTTGCCATGAGAAAGTGCAGAGGAGAAACCGTCCACATAGTCAGCATTCAGGCCTGCCAGTCATAAATGCAGAGCCTCACAGACCAATTAAACATTCAGACCACGCTTTATAGTGAAATCAGGGTGGCATTTCTGTATTCGCTTTCTTAGGCTTACAGAATATTAATTCAAAACACAATAAATATACTTTAGAAACAACAAAATGGTTTGACAGGTATACTTGATTGTGTTTCTTTTTTTATACAGAAAGTTTGGGCAGTAAAAGGATAACATCAGTTACATCTTTTTGTAGGACAATCCTCAGAGTCTGAGTACATGAATGGTTTGCAAGAGTGTAGTCAAAGACAACATGAATGTGGGCTTCCTAGTGAGTAATTGCTTTTACCCCCACTGGAAGCGCTTCAAAAATGACTACAGCTATTTAAATATGTCATGTCTTTTATTGTATAAAACATGATAATATGTTGAGCTTATATTAACAAAAAGAAAGCATCTTATATTAACAGACATTATTTCAACCATTTAAGAAAGAAAGAATTATACAAACAACTATAAAATGCAACTTATTTTTGGCTCTTGGCAACTTTTTGCAGTGCAGTCAACAACATTATTGGTCTGTTTTCCTGAAGACAAGTGTATGATAAAATGCTAGTTTTGACCATTTGTTTACACAACAGGGCTATTTTTGCGACCTGAAAATTAAATTGCTTTTAAACTTCAAGTATAATATAATATTACGATAATTATGGAGTCAATCTAGGGCCATATATACTTGCAAAATAAAAGAAAGTCCTTTACAGATAATTATGAGTTGGTTTATGGTTTTTTTTTTTTTTTTTTGGAGAAAAAAAAACTACAAAAAAGCAAAAACAAACAAATAAAGCAAAAACAAATAAATAAATGCAAATCTTCAAAAATTGCAAAGCTAAAATAAACTTTTGAGAAATAAAAATGAAATTTGCAAACAAAAAAAGAACTGCAAATAAAAATCATGCAGTGCAAAAAAAATAAATTAAAAAAAAATATATATATATATATTTGCAATTTTAAAAAAACTAAATATATTTGCAAAACATATTTATAGCATTGCCTTTACAAAACCTGTCCAGTCAGTTGCAATGCACATTTTGATTTGCTTTTTAGTCAACCACTATTTGCACTTCATATTTCTGCACGTTTCACCTTGTGGCCCTACTTGGGTATTTACTGTAGGCCTGGACCTGCCTCCATTAAAGCCATGTCATCACCTAGAGACACAGTATCACCGAGGTGGTCTACAGCTCAGTAGGTCTGGGCCTGACGTAAACGATAAAAGTTCCTTTGATTCCGCCCTTCTATCAAATCAAGGCCACAAAGTGAAATGCACAGAAACGTGAAGTGCAAATAATTATGTTGAGTTTTATTATTATTTTTTTTTTAGCAAATGTTATTTTTATTTCTCAAAACTTAATTTTAACAAAATTAATTTTTATTTTACATAATTTTTTTTTTTTTTTTTTTGCTTTGTGATTTTTGGAGATTTGGATTTATTTATTTATTTTTGCTCAATACTTTATTTTTTGTTTGCAAAACTTTCTTTTATTTTGCAAGTATATAAGGCCCTAGATTGGCTCTAAAGACACATTGATTACTGAGGCTTCAAAATATGTTTTTAGTTGTGCAAATATGGAATCAGCATAATTATGTGTGCGCGAGCACTTGGCACAATCTTGATTGTTTTTATCTTTACTCAGTCAAAACATTTTCATGTGTTTAGCCACGTAGTGCTTCAATACAAAGTAACATTGCCATCTACTGGCCTGGCATGCATAATACATCATTTGATGTGGATTTTGTATGCAGAACTTTTTGTGTGCAGAAATTTTTTTTTAAATGCTGTTTTAGTGCATTGTTGACATGTAAACAATGTACAGACAAAAATAAAGCTTAATAACATATCTTCTCCATCCTCAATTATTTGCATTCCCCCCTTCAAAAAAAAGTCTTTTAGTAGACTTGTTCTGGACATACTGAGCTCAGAGCAGTGTCACATTGAGCTAGATCCAGACGTCCTGCCAAACTCCTGACAACCAGTCCAGACTTTGCCAACAGCTATTCCAGCATCAGCATCGCAGCCAAATAATTAACCTGAAAACCATGTCTGTTCCTATAAATGGCTTTTTTTACACCCTTCATTACAGCTTCAACATTGTTGCGAGGAAGTAAAAAGCAAGGAACTGCTGCCAGGTGCAAATTTAACAGCCTCCCTATTAATGTGCAAACAAATCCAATTACCTATGACTGACCGAGATCCCAATGTGATAAATTTAATGGGAAACGCTGTTTGGGTGTTGAAATCGGAGCTTGTGACCTGTAAAATATTTGTTCTGAGAATTGTCCTTCAAATAACACTGAGAAGATGTTCAGGTTTATGTTTAAAAGATGATGATATCTATTAATTTCAACGTGATTATATCCCAGATGTCATTCATGTACATTTCCTGAACTCATCGTAGTGTTTTAAGCGAAGTAAAAAATGACACAAAGTTCGTCTTGTTAAATCATTAAAAAAAGGTTTATTACCAATGTAAAACGACACTGCGCCTTTTCATGAACACTACAGTATCTTCACCATGCCTGACACATTTAGAACTGTTATTAATAAGCAAGACCCATGCTGAGCCCCTCCAATCTGGACTTATATCACACCAGATGGATAGACATGCCACCCTTTACTGACAATCTCTTTAAAGGAATCACAGTTTCGAAAAATAATTCAGAGCGCTAGGTTTACATTGTATATGTACATCTCTAAAATGTCCATTTATAGATATATTCTTATTTACAAAGGCTTCTTCAGGTATTGTATACTCCTAAAGGCTGAAACAAAAGGAACAAAAATAAAGAGTTACAGGATTTTCGGTTTATGGAAGACTAAATAATACCCTTGTAAAAATATGGTAACAGCCAAAGAATATGTATATAAATAAAATTTTATCCAAAGAATCAACAGTTACCGCATTCGATGGTGTTGTGCAGTGTTTAAAAAATGATAAGCATTATAAAGGTTTAGCATCAGAATCTTTTGCTCTATTTAGCACTCTCGGACGCCTCAATACAACACCTGTCTTGACAAAAAAAGCACAGCATATGAATGATGTACGAACATAGCAGTATTCATACTACAAACCTTTACTAAGCATAATGTAGATGAACATTCATTTCAAAATGAAACTCGGTCATATCGATCAAATATTATAGAGTGTTTGCATGACTACTGATTACACAGATATTACAGGTATTAATGTTGATTGCTGTAAGAAACTGGACAGAACTCACCAAAAGAAAGCACTGGTTTGGGAAATGGCAGTAGTACTGTTGATTGGTGAGTGTCACACATTGTGATAAATCGCAGTCATTCGTGACTGAATTGTGGGAGAGAGAGAGAGAGATCTTAACTGGACACCAGACAACAGAGACCGAAGAACCGCCGCTTTCTCTGCCGGACCATGGGGTATGGCGCCAGATTCAACAAACTGCTGTCATCTGTATTCATACAAAAACAGATAAATGTAGAGATCAATGCTCTGAATTGTTGCTCATTTAGGGATAGTTCACCAAAAAAAAAAAAAAAAAAAATTCTGTCATTATTTCAACCCAGGCTCAATATTGATAAGTACCCCTGGATACGTTTCTGGACAGCATTAAATACATATATATTTTTTTGCAGTTTTTGTTTTCACGAATTCACCAGAGGGCACTGTGTACGCTTTTTCAATCTCAAATTCAGTGTCATATGCGTCTGTTGCTCTCACATAAATCCACCAGAGGCTGCTGTCGACTGTCTGACCGACTGATTCACTCGCGGTCAACTCCTTTCTGTGTCTCAGGTCCGCCAATGTACATGGTGAGCTACTGGGCAAACTGACAACAGTGGAAAAGCTGTCCACATGGAGGTAAGTGGTCAGCGCGTAATTAAACGGAAGCCGCCAGCAGCATCATACTGCCCCGTAGTGTTCGTTTTAAAGTATCTCTGGCTACATAATGCGCTCTCCAGAAATGTATATGGGGGTACGTTCAGTAAGGAGCCTGTGCTGCATTTACTCACTCTTGACTTGTTTTAAAGCATTTTTTTATTGAGTGTTGAACACCTTCTATGGTCAAAAAGACTAAAACTATGGTGCGTTTTCCAAACATTGATATAACTCACGGCTGAACTATCACAATGCGATGTATCATTTGGGAAAAGAACAATGTAGTGAGGAGAGGTTTCCCAAAAACCGTAGTTTCTCTGTCACAAATCCATTATTTTAACCACATTAGTTATAATGTAAAACATCCATAATAATGCTCTAAACAGAGTGAAGAAACAATTTCTTTAGAGAAACCCCCCCATAATTCATTATACAATTTTGATTGTTTTACTCGAACACGCATTTAAAAAAGATCAAATATTAGTTTTGGAAAAAACATCCATGCACTTTTCATATTAAGTACAATATATGTAAACGACACATATAGAACGTATATATATTCCCTTTACAAATATTATTGAGAATATTTCATATAATATTACTAACATAACATGTATTCTAATCTCATATATAAATCAAATACATTGTTAATGGTTGTAGGCCTAATTTACAGTAGGGTAATTATTAAGAAATAAAAAACGTATGCTATATATTTTTGTTTTTACAAGCTTTGGAGACGTAACATCAATTTTAAACAATGTCACCTATAGCTTTTATCATGAGCCATGAGCTGTTTTCAAATTGCATTATAAAAGGCAACGCAATTGTCAATATGAAGATCGCTAAAACTGAACAGTAAAAATACTTTAAAAGCAAATTACACCAAAGAGAGATGACTTTCATGTTTTTTTTTTTTTTTTTTTTTTTTAGATCATTCCAAGTTTAAATGTTATAAATGAACAGGGCAAAGGAGGGATAACTGGAAATAGAACAAAGTCAGGAACTTCTAACTGCAGCTCCAGAGGTGTAGTTGCAAGTGTAAATGTTCGTTGGAAAAACGAATTTGGAAAACGCCAAATCAAGGAATAATGTTTGTAACGACGAAACTTGCGACCTTAGTTGGCTAATGATGGTTTTCAGAAATGCACCCCTGGTTTGATACAAGTCAAGGGTAAGTAAATATTTGCAGAATCATAATTTACACTCATTAGTTCATCCAAGTTGTAGATGAATAATTCAAGTTCAGTAGAAGTTCAGAAGTTCAGCATTTTTTAATGCTGTAACTGTGTCTCTCTGTGATTCATAAACGCAAGTACAAGCGCTTGGTGTTTATTTGAATACTAAGTCAAAAGGTTTAATATCATGTCAAGAAGTTGGATCAGTCTTGTTTCTAAATTAAGACAACCTAAAATCAATTTAAACTGACTACCTTGATGACAAATTGACATCTAACATTGGTGTCAAAAACACACCAAAATTCAAATACAGGACTGTCTATTATTCGATTTTTGACATCAATGCAAGTGTCAATGTGAGATCAGGTTAGTCAATTGACATCAAATCGATTTGCATTTTTGACCTGTTTATTGATGTTGATTTAGCATCAAGGTATCTACAGGGATATATCTACAGTCCCTGACAAAAGTCTTGTCGCTTATCTAATTTGTAGAAACACCTGCTATTAACCTGACTTTTATTTAATCCATTGGTGTTAGGAAGAGTTTATATGAAAAGCTAAAACCCTCCCAAATTATGTTTAATGCACTGAAATAAATTAGTTTCACTGAAACAAGATTTATCATTTAATCAAAACAGAAAGGTCAAATTTTGGCAAGACAAAAGTTCTGTCGCCTGTACGAAAATCAAACAAATTTACTGCAAATACAATAATATGTCAGCAAATTAGGTAGTGGTGCTGTGAGATCCACATTTAATATCTTGTATGACTTCCATGAGCTTGAAGAACTGCATCCATGCGGTTAGGCAAGGATTCATACAATTTATTGATGAAGTCATCAGGAATAGCAAAGAAAGCAGTCTTGCATGCCTCCCAGAGTTCATCAATATTCTTTGGTTTCATTTTCCATGCTTCCTCTTTCATCCTACCCCACATGTGCTCAATGATGTTCATGTCTGGTGACTGGGCTGGCCAATCCTGGAGCATCTTGATCTCCTTCGCCTTGTGGAACTTTGATGTGGAGATGGAAGTATGCGATAGAGCACCATCCTGCTGCAGAATTAGGCCTTTTTTATGGTTGGGAATATAAGAGGTAGCTAAGACTTCTTGGTATTTTAGACTATTGATGTGGCCTTCCACCCTGCAGATCTCATGCACACTCCCATACTGGATGTAACCCCAGACCATGATTTTTCCACCACCAAACTTCACTGTTTTCTGGGTGAATCTTGGATCCATGCGGGGTCCAGTAGGTCTCCTGCAATATTTGCAGCGACTGTGGTGTAATTCAACAGAAGATTCATCAAAAAAATCCACCTTCTGCCACTTTTCCAGTGTCCATCCATTTAGCAGGCAGTGGGCCTTGGCAAATGCCACACGGTTTTTCAATTGTCTTTTGTTTAGTACTTGCTTCTGGGCACTGATTCGGCCATTTCGAGACAGAATACGACAAACTGTTCTGGTTGACACAGGGACTTCAGGTGACCAGGTCTCGTGGAGCTCTGCAGCAGTGGAAAATGGGCTGGCCTTAGATTTTCGAGCCAACAAATGGTCCTCTCGAGCAGTTATCTTGAGGCGTCTGCCTGACCTGGGCTTTTAAAAAACATCTCCAGTCTCTTCAAGTCTTTTTTTTATCCTCTGTACTTGACGCTGAGACACTTCGAAGGTTTCTGCCACATCAGCAGTGGATCTGGTTTTCAGCCTCTTGATAATCAAGACTAGTCTCAGGGTGAAACTTAGGCATTTTTGCAGAGGTCTAGTTGCATTTGATGTGAAGGACTAGTGTACTGGGGTTCTTTTTATACACACCTGAGACCTAATTGGTCCATTATTAGTCACAAGTGAAGCTCATATGACAAGGCGACAACACTTATGTCTTCACAACAATGGACTCAATAGGCTTTACAAAGCTGGGAATATTAGAATACTTTCTGACAGTTTCGTTTTGCACTGAAACATTATTACAAAAGCTGTTGGGATTAAAATGTGCCATTTCTTGAAAAGAAATCTTGATTAGAAATATATTTCAGTGACACTTCAAGTCAATTTGTACACAAGCGACAGGACTTTTGTCAGGGACTGTAGTGTGAGGGTCTATTTAATTTGAATGATACAGAGACCCTTATTTATGTTCAGATTTCTTTTTGTACTTCGTTCTTTAATATTTTGAATCATTGTAATGTATTGCATTTTCAATCAGTACACAATGCCTGCTCATTGAAGGGTTGATTTAAACATTTTATAAATGACTTTTATAGCTCTAAATGTCTGGGTATATACAGTACATACTTAGCTGAGCTTCTGAGACCTTACAAAACAGGTAGATATCTTAGATCTTCTTTTTAACTAATCACATTTACAAGACCTACAACTAAAACTAAAAGAAGAAACCCAAACTTTTGAACACTTCTGTAAATGAAATTTCTTCCTGTCATTTTTTGTTTAATTGTATTTCGTTGTTTAATATTTTGAATCATTGTAATGTATTGCATTTTCAATCAGTACACAATGTCTGCTCATTGAATGAGTGATTTAAATATATTCTTACTGACTTCAACAGCCTTAAACATTCTGGGTACATACAGTACATAGCTGAGCTTCTGAGACATTACAAAACAGGTAGAGGTCTTAAATCTTCTTTTTAACGAATTGCTAGCATTTAAAAGACCTACAACTAAAATTAAAAGGAGAATCCCAAACTTTTGAACGCTTGGGTACAACTGAGACCTTGCTGTTATTGAAAGTTTTGAAAACCCAATTTTTTCAAGCTTTCAGTGAATTAGTCTGTAATATCAGCGAGGGAACTTGTGTAAGTGAACATTACCTTGGTTCTTCAGCGGTAAAGGCATTGTCTCCCTGAGTTTGCTTAGCAGATTTTTCATTTCTGTCATGTCCCTAGAACATCAAGAATGTGTTTGAGATTCAAACTATCAGTTTAACACTGAGCGATTCTGCTCAGACTATTTACCTCTCGATGTTCTCAATGTCTGTGGCCACCAGGAAGTACGTGTGCGGACAGTCCGGTGGAGTGGAGGACGTGTCTTCCAGGATCGGAATGTCAGAACTGTCCTCCTTCCTACTGTCCAACTTTGTAGCTCCTAAGTAATGTTTTCCTGGAACACATACAGTGAGACATTACTTTCATAGTACGTACACTCTAAAAAGTAACACTTGTTGTTTGTTTAAACTTTGTATTTAAATTGATCTGAAACAACACAATTGTTTTTATTTTTGGGGGGACAACTTAATTGTTTTATGTTCAATCCACAAAAATTTGCAAAAACTAATAAGTTAACTTAATTTCTTCATGTTGTCTCAACAAAAACAGATTGTGTAGAAAATTGTTGCAATTTATATGTGTTGAATTTAATCAAACAAATTATAAATAGTAATGTTCAACTTAAGTTGTTTGTTTAAACTCAGCCCAAATAAATTCTTTACAACCTCTTTACTTAAAAAATTAGTAAATCCAACAAATCATCTTTGAATAATTTTTTTCAGTGTAGACTATAGGGCTGTGCGAGCAATTTTAGTTTATAATTTTATCATAATTATTAGGAGAACACTATAAATTGATTGTGAAAATGGCTACATACTGTTCCTATCTTTTAGCACCTAAACTGCTAGCAGTAGTAACCTTTTAAATCAGTTTTATCTAAACAATTTTTGGTAACACTTTACAATAACGTTATATTACATAATGTTAACTAATGCATTACTTAACATGAATTAACAGTGAACAATACATGTGTTAAGCATTACTTAATCTTTGTCAATGTTAACTACACACATACTAATGTGTTACTAACTAATGGTGAACAGCGACTATTATTCAGCATAATCTTGGTTAATGTTAACACTCATATTCTAATGCATGTCTTTACATTAACAGCCTAATTAGTTCATGATTACAAGGGGTTGTATATATATTGGATATTTTATTTAAAAAAATCTGAAAAACAGCCATAATGTTTTTTTTTTACCAAGGTGATTTTAGAGTTAGAGTCATGGACTGTTGTCCTTCCAGTGTAGACTCAGTGTAGACTAAGTGTAGACAGTGTAGACTCAGTGTAGACTAAATCAACCAAATTACAGATGATTCATCAATGGTAATATGGTCCACTTTAGCCTTCAGATATGCACTCGAATAGACAAATACTGTACACAGAAATCTATATTAGAATGTCTGCCTTTTCATGCTTTATCTTAAAACAAGTAAAGTAGGCAGTTAGAAAAGTAATCATATGTTTGTTAGTATATAGGTATTCTGTCTTAAGGTGACAGTCAACACATGTTAAAGTGTTATTTCAACAAAGAAAATACATAACAGCACAGTGCTTATGAACACATGCAGCAAACTGACGCTGAGAAGAAACATTGAATACAATAATTTTTGTTTTATTAGCACACCAAAATATGTTTGTAACTTTATGATATTCTGACTGAACCACATATGGTTTGAGGATATGTTTTAAAAATCGATAAAACTTTAGTTTAGGTCACAATTCACGATATTAACTACTGGCTTATCAGCTGCCTATTATTGAGACGTTAACTGTTGATTAGTATTTATAAAGCATGATCTTATTATACATCCCTAATCTTGCCTAATACCTAAACCCAACTACTACCTTATTAACTATTAATAAACAGCTAATTAGTAGTTTATTAAGCTAGAAGTGTTAATGATTTGGTAATACCATGAATTGAATGTTACTAAAACATTTTGTGGACTTTTACTTTTTTTCTTGTTCTTGTTTGTTCTTGTTTTTTGGAAGATGAGGGAACTCAGATTTCACCTAAACTATATTAATGTCTAAAGTTTAAGGATTTTGAAATTACACGAGAAAAAGTAATTAATCACAATCACATAATGTTTTAAGGGTAAACCAATCTTTTAATAAAAAAATAATGAGTGAATAACAAGGAAGAATAAGAATACCTCTTACAACAACTTCACAGCAGATTCGAATGTTATCTCTCCATTGAATGAGTGTTATCAGTGGATGGGCCAGTAGGGGCCTTCTGAGCCTACTGGCAGGCTCAGAAGGCTGTTATCATCCATCCACATGGTTCATCTGCTATAGATTTGCTGAAGTTTGCCCTGCGGGATTGCACTTTTTTTTTTTAAAAGAAACTTCTTTGGAGCATCAATCTTGTCAATGCTATTATTGAATGGGCATTATCAATGGTTATCAGCTAATAAATATGGGCAGTGGACACACTGAGGAAGGCATTGTGCCTAAAGGTTTGTGTCTTTAAATCACTCGAAGAATGTAAAAAGAGAAAATAAAAACAGTACGAAGCAATTACTTAATGAGTGTGAATCATTACCTTTCTGAAGAATCAGCTATAGATCCCATACGGCTGCAGCCAGAAGTTAACAAGAATTATATTTATTATTTATTAAATTTGCCATTACTTTAATTAAATTAATGTTTACCCCAACCCTAAACCCAACCATCACAGTAATGTAAAAGCAGATCTGTATCCCGAGTCTTCGCTATTAGTATAGCTGATTAACCACGTGGATGGATGGCAACAGCTATCTGAGCCAACCAAAAGGTGCAGAAGGCCTGTACTTGCCCATATCTATTAGCTGATAACCACCGATAATTCCCATTCAATCAAGTGATAACATTCGAAGAGGGTAACTTTATTTAGAATGAATGTATAACTAAATAATACTCTTTAAAAAAGTATGAGATTTGATTCCTCGATTCAATTTCTGTATGTTAAGAACATTCCATTTACCAGGCTATATTGTTTATTTCTTTGGTTTATGTGTATAATCTACACCACTACCAGCGTCTGCTTCCTCAAATAGTGTACTCTTTAACAAAATAACAAAATCTAACACTATTTCTACAAGGTGCAATTTTGGATACAGCCAAAGTCTGACAAGTTTGTAGTATACTTCCTCTGTCTGGTTGTGCTTAAAACCACAGTAAGGGTGTTACATATCACACATGCACACTTCAGTTAACTGACAGACTGCAGGTTTGCTTTCACATGCTGCTTAAAATCAACATAAGAGGCAAAAATCTATTGTATTTATTCTATTGTTTGTCATTTTTACTGACTGTTTCAACTGACCATAGTTTGTTGATTGTGAATTGCTCTCAAAAAGAAAATATGAAGAGATTTGGTAGCATTTTGGGGTTTTTATCAATGCATTGACTCTTGAAGTTTTTTCTTCAGGGACCTAGAAGTCTAGGACCTCCTCGCCTCTGACTGGCAGAAATGACCATCACAAGATTTGACCTCAAGGCAACAGTCTGCTTGTCCATATTTACTGAGCTCAAATCACAGACACAAATAAAGTAAGCTCCAGCCAACATGAAGCCACTAGAAAGCTCTAGATTTGGACAAGCCGGCTTCATGGACAGCAGTTTCCCCCCAAGGCGTCCTCGCAGCATTACCTTTCCTGTGTAGCTGCAGGGACCCCAGCAGACACACAGATTTCAGCATCTCCGTCAGGTACATCTCCAGACAGCACTGCAGCTGGATGAAGAGGCGGCAGATCTCCGGATGGATTTCTCCATCTTCTGGGCTGTGAAGAAAAAGCATCAATAATGCATTTTAGATCTGGATTCTGCAAAGTTCTGGCCCCGAGCCCTGCGCTTCAACCTGTCTAATTTCTCACGAGTTACCATGTCCTTGCATTTCTGCAGTCGACAATAAGCCTTCACTGAAAGCATACTATATATCTATATATATATATATATATATATATTTATATATATATATATATATATATATATATATATATATATATATATATATATATATATATATATATATTGTATAGCTTAACATGTGTGTAGCGTTTTTAGCCTTCTGATTATTGATACATATTGGTTATATTGGTTAAAACATGTCTTAAAAAACGTTTTATACACTATAAAAATAACATGATTAATAGGTCACACAGTTTTGCTACTTTAAAGGATTCACTTTTTGGTGCACATATAACCAAAGTGCTCGTGAATGTGAACACTGATCTGGCGATGCAAGAAGAAACAGCTGAATAAAGTCATTATTTTCTATCATGTGCACACAAATGTACTTTCGTAGCTTCATAATATTCTCATTGAGCCACTGAATATGTAACAGTTGCTGTCTATGGAGGATGAGAGAGCTCTCGGATTTTTTCTAACATATCTTAATTTGTGTTCTGAAGATGAACGAATGTCCCAAGGGTTTGGAATGACATGAGGGATGAGTAAATAAATGACAGAATTTTCATTTTGGGGTAAGCTAACCCTTTAAATTAACAATGTTTATTGTAAAAGTTTTACAATATTTAATATTTGAATACAATTTTAGATGTTCTATTTTGTTTATATTGAGTGTTTCTGCCTTATTTCTGCTTTCATTGTTTTTTAAATAATTTTGTTTTAGACTTTTTTGATTTAAGTAAAATAAAATAAAATTGTATTCGCAAATGGGTTAAATAAGTTGTAATGTTTAATATAAATACATGATTAGAAAAGGGGCAACCCAGTACGGTGCTGCCGTACCGAGGGGTGCCCAAACTCGGTTCTGGAGGGCCGGTGTCCTTAAAAGTTTAGTTCCAACCCCAATCAGACACACCTGGGCTAGCTGATCAAGCTCTTACTAGGCTTTCTAGAAACATGGTGAGTTGAGGCAAGTTAGGGCTAAAATCTGCAGGACACTGGCTTAAATTTTAAGCATTTTAATTAAAAGTTTGCTTTTTCACATCTGATTTTTTTTTTTTTTAAAGACAAATTTATATTTATACTATTTACAATATCTATCCATTTATCAGTAAAACACCATATTTGCATATTTGAAATTCCATTAAGAATTGCTATTTTGGAGTTTAACATACTATTGTAGCTATTTAATTTTTTAATTTTTATATAGAATTTTATATAGAAATTATATATAATTTTTGAGTAAATTGCTTGTGTGTTTGCCATTTATTTAATTTTTCTATATAGTTAGCCTTTTTGTCATAATCTTAATGCCAACATAACAACAATAAACAATAATATTTTTACAGTAAATGTATATTTTATTGAAAACAAATGTGTTTAGCTTTAATGTTTTTGTTTACTATAATAACCCTTAATGAAATCTACAATGTTCTAATGACCAAACACAAAGCTCATTGAAATCTTGGCAGTATTCGAGAAGCTAACAATATCATAGTGAATATATGATGAATATTCAATATACAGCCCTGTTTGATTTTTTTCTGAGCTGCATGTTTACAAGGTTGTACAGACAATCTAGAGCTCTAAACACATTAGCTCAATAGCGAGCGAGAATTCGTAGAAAATCTGATTTCTCAGAATCCTACGCATGTAATTACTGCTCTGTAAATCCCAGGTGAAATGCTGTGGCATGGCGGAAACTTCATTTTCCTGTTCTTCAATTACCTGGAACAGAAGGATGGCACCAAACCCATCCAGGACAAATCATGTAAAAGGTCTATCAGGCACAGCATGGCCTTGGTGGTAAATTGCCACATTAACTAACTATAACAGGGACTACATGTTGAACAACACTCAACACGGAATCTATTTGACTATATTGCTTCTATAAAAATTCTGTTATTTTATCTGTAGAAAGAAAATTCACTCCATGTTCATGCGAAGGTCAAAGTAACATCCATGATAATGGAAAATAAAGCTTATATGTATTACTAAGTGCTGTGAAGGTGAAGTTTCAGATTTATAACATATACTACTATAATCATGTATGATTTTTATTACAGCTCACATGCTCATCAGATACTTACGTAAAGATATCAATGGTTTTATTATACTTGAAAAAAGTTGAAATTACTTGTTGTTGTTCTTATTGGTTTAGCAAAAATCAGTAAAAATGTCTGTACAACTACATTCAAGTTTACTTAACCTAAATAATAATATAGAATTTTTTCCCTAACAAAAATCAAATGAAAATTCTAATGCCTAAAGATCAAGTAATAAATTGAACTTTCAAAACAACTACCCAGATAAATCAAATGCTCAAACAACGATAAATAAAAATGCATTCTCAAATGAGAAATCAAATTTATTTGATATTTAATTTTCATGAACAACTCAGTAAAATTCTGTAATAATTAAATGACAAATCAAATGAATAATTCAAATGGAAGAACCAGTTTCTGGTTCCTGAATACACACACAGCTGGAAGCCATGATGGACTGATTACTGGGACTATAAAGACACCTCACTCACACAGACCTTGCTGAGTCTTGTTTTTCCCTGTGAAGCAGTACAAAATTTTTTCGCTGTTTGTCCTGCCATGTTTTGATCCTTGTCTTGTTTACGGTTATTGTTGTTTTACCTCCTGTCCTGTTTCTAATTCTGTCTAGAAAATGTCTTGTTAACATTTGTCTCTGCTTTAGTTTTTTTTTTTTTTTTTTTTAAATAATGTATTATTTCTTAGTACAAATTTCCAAATGAGTTTTATTGTTCACTTAATTTCAGATATTTTAGGTCAGTGCAACAGATGTTTTCAAAAATTAAACAAAAAAAAAAAACAAAGGGAAATAAGAATTGTTTTTTTTTTTTTTTTTTTTTTTTTGTACTGGCTTAATATTTTACAGTGTAGTAAATCCATGGTTAATCTGTGGTTACCAGAGGTTAACTGGAAACGACATTTTTATAATTGCTTAAATGTTTTATATTAAGTGGCTTTAATAACTATAAATCTACATTTAAATTAAAATTTGGTACAACGCTCTTACTGTGTACATAAATGTTTTTACATTGTACTTATATTTAAAAAAAATAGTTTGCATGCAATAACATTTGTGGTTAACTAACCCTTTAACCTATACCCATATCCAACCTCAATAGCACCATAAGTGTTGTTTAATATGAACACAGCATGTACATTTTAGATATTTTTGGATGTAAGTACTTAGTAGTTAAGGTCACTTAATATAAAGTGGGACCAAATGTTTTTATTTAGTTTGTAGTAAAATTATGTTTCATTGACGTTTTCAAGAATGGGTCCATGACACCTAGGTGCTCGCAAGGGTACTGCAAATATTGTATATATAAATATATATTAGAGGGCGATGCAGTGAAGAAGTCTTGCCTCACAGCAAGAAGGTCGCTGTTTCGAGCCTTGGCTGGATTAGTTAGCGTTCCTGTGTGGAGTTTGCATGTTCTCCCTGTGTTCGTGTGGGTTTCCTCCGTGTGCTCCAGTTTCCCCCAAAGTCCAAAGACATGCTGTACAGGTGAATTTGGTAGGCTAAATTGTCTATAGTGTATGAATTAGTGTGTATGACAAAGTAGTGTGTATGGATGTTTCCCAGAGAAGGGTTGCAGCTGGAAGGGCATCCGCTGCGTAAAACATATGCTGGATAAGTTGGCGATTCATTCTGCTGTGGAGACCCTTAATAAAGGGTCTAAGCCGAAAAGGAAAAAAAATTCTAATTCTTAGTCCCACACATTAACATGCAATAAACAAATACATCAAAATTGTGAAATTGCACATCCTACCCTGATATTGCAGAAAGGTTCTGATGTGCTGTTCGTGCCATCTCACAGCCTTTTGTGCGTGTCTTGTGCATTTCCGCCCGAAGAGAAGGACAATCAGCGGAAATCTCTCCAATAGAGATAACCAACTCCCTATAGAGGGCCACAAGTGTATTGAACTCCTGGACAACCTTTTGGAAGAGAGGAAAACAAAGGCAAACAAGCTAAGAAAGTACAGGCTGAACAAATCTATTTTAACCTTGAAAATGTATCAAGCCGATAAATTAAAGAGGTTTTTAACTTTGAGGAGATGACATGCATCCAAGTTGCCTAGACATTTTTCATTCTTAACATTGAAACATCCAGACAGTTTCACAAAGGTAAAACAGGCTATTTGCTGGGGAGCAGAGCCTCAGGCGACAGATGCTCATGCCATTTTATCAATATTTGGTATAAAGGATTAGCGTTCAATGGCAAGCAGTTTTAACATTTATGCCTTACTTTACAAGTAGTATCCATTTTTATGCTATTAGGACATAACTTATAGCAAATTTACATTTATTCAATTAACTCATTTATTCAAAGTGGCTTATATTGCAGGTAAGAATACAGTAAGCACTTCAAATCATCAGAGAGGTGCAGTTTATAAATGCTATAATAAATCTGTCATTTTTTTTTCTTTATTTAAAAAAATTTAATTGTACCCCCGAGCATACAAGGATGAAAAAATGTGTCCTATAGGTGGTTTGTCAAACCCACTCACCTGCGTTAAGCACACTAAGAACTGCATGATATTTACAGAAACATGGAGTGTTTAAAAAAGGAAAGTGTTCGGTGCATATGAAGAGGAGAAATTGGGTCCTACAAGTGGTTTGAGGTTTTGTAATTTGATCACTCATAAATAATCTCATGGTGTCTACTCTATTATGTTGCTTGTAACTCTTGCAAGGGATGTTCCTACTTACAAGTGGACAAGTCTAAAAGGGATAGCTCACCCAAAAATGTATTTACCACAACCGAATATCCATGGTCTAGATGCCTTTCTTAAGCAGAATATTAAAGAAGGTCTACTCACATTAAAGAAGTGTTCCTCTAAAAAAAGAAAGGCACCTCTTGGATGACCTGTGGGTAAATAAATTAACAGGAGAATTTTTGGGGGGTGAGATGTCCCTTTAATAACAACTGACCTAGATATATATATATATATATATATCATAGATTAAGGATTGCATGGCACCATGTTTTCACCGTTTTCAGTTTGACCATTAGCTTCCACTTTGGAGTGGCAATTCTTCTCTGTTGATCTCAGTTCCCATTACATAAGGGAATGATGCAAAAAAGGAAAGCCCCACCAGTACTTAATATTTTATTTCAGATGGAAGTGCATCCACATACTGAAATAAAAGTCCCAGCAACCTCCGGTTCATGGGGATGAAAGAAATTAGAGTTTCCCACTCATATTAATGGCCACGCATGGCACAGTGGGTGGTACTGTCACCTCACAGCAAAAAGATTGCTGGTTCGAGCCTTGGCTAGGTCAGTTGGCATTTCTGTGTGGAGTTTGCACGTTCTCCCTGCATTTGCGTGGGTTTCCTCTGGGTGCTCCGGTTTCCCTCACAAGTGGTACAGGTAAATTGGGTAAGCTCAAATTGTCAGTAGTGTATGTGTGTGAATGAGAGTATATGGGTGTTTCACTGTGAAGGGTTGCAGCTGGAAGGGCATCCTCTGTGTAAAACATATGTTAGATAAGTTAATAAAATGACTAAGCTAAAAGAAAATAAAGGTTTGAATGAATAAATGAATGAATGAATGAATGAATGAATGAATGAATGAATGAATGAATGAATGAATGAATGAATGAATGAATGAATGAATGACTCATATTAACAAGTTTGTGGTGACGTTCATATGAATTCAACAACATACAATTTTTCCAACAGGACTTGAAGGGATTATCTTTAGATATTAGTATCCACTGACTGGCACCTTTATGTGGTACAACTGCACAAACATCTAATCAGCCAATCATATGGCAGCATCCCAGCAAATTTAAGCAAGAAGATGTGGTCAAGACTATCTACTGAAGTACAAGCTGAGCATTAGAATGAGGAAGGAAGGTGATTGAATTACTTTGAATGTGGTATTTTTGGATCTTGTCTGAGCATTTCAGAAACTATTGATCTACTGGGATAACAGCAAGTGAGCAACAGTAATATTTTTTTAAATGCTTTGTTGGACCAAGAGAGTCAGAAATATTGACCTGAATGTTTATAACGATAAAACGGCAACAGCAATTCAAACAACCACTTATTAAAAATGAGATCTGCAGAAGAGAATCTAAACCTTAAAGCAAACCTTGAAGCAGATGAACTACAGCAGTAGAAGAGCGCACCAGTGGCAATCCTGTCAAGTAACAAACCCAAACTCACACTACAAATTAGACAGGCTTACAAAAATTAAACAAAAAAAGTATAAGATTGCCTGATTAAATTATTATTATTATTTTTTTTTGTAGAATTAACACAAGCAACACAAAGGAATGGATTTGTCATGCATTGTATCAATTGTTTAGGTTGTTGGTGGTATAAAAGGGGTGGATGAGGTTTTCTGTGATTTTGGTCTCTTTAATACCATTTGAGCATTGTTTAAATATCAGACTCTACAGCAACAACATCAGCAATGTGATATTATTACATATAAACCAACATCTCAGAGGAAGGTGCTTTTCTAGCACCTTGCTGAATTCAGGCCACACAGATTTAGAGCAATACTAAAGCCAAAAATGGTATGGTGAAACCTGGTACTTGCAGGGTGAATCAAATGAGTTATACAGAAATTATTAGAATTTTTTTAAAACTAGTACATGTAACACATAAACGTTATGTTTGGTAAATGGTTGCATATTTTTGTTATTGAATTATGTTGGTTTTGGTTCAGATGTCAACAAACTTCCATCAAATTAAAGTTGCATATAAACTAACTAGACGGACAATGGCAACACTTACTAATGATTTTGGAAAAGTTATTAGACACATCTTATGATTATACATAAGTGAACAGTGGTCAAATTTGGTCAATGAGTTTGTTTACATAAACATTCTTAAGACGATCATGCTTAAGCTGACAATGTATGTCTTCAGGCAAATGTGTTAAACCATATTCCTTTACCAACATTAGATCATATAAAGCTTAAAGGAATAATTCACCTAAAAATTTTAACTAAACCATACTTTACTCACCCCAAATACATTCTCTGTGTATATTGATTTATTCTTTTAGATGAACACAGCCAGTAGTTTTTTTTTTTCTTTCTTTTTTTCATTCTGGTTCATCCATGCTGTACAATGGTGTTGGTAGTGGCCTTTCTTTGTAGCTTCCAAAAGCTCATCAATCTGTTGTAAACTAACCCACAAGCTTCTAGGGGTTTAATGCATGTCAACCACAAAGTTACAATAAAATCACTGACTTCAGGTGGCAGCCAAATGTGAATTCTCTACTTGGCTGACCTCTGATAAGTCATATATACACAGAAGGTGGCTTGAGTGTGAGTAAATTATGGGGTAGTTTTAATTTTAAGTTGACAAACTATTGAAAATGTTTGTCCATTACCCCAGTTTTTCCAGGCATAAAAACACACTAACCTGCATTCAGTTAATTTACTGTAGTGCCCATGTGTCATATGTGATATGTGTGATATGCATCAATGAAAGTACGCTCATGTCAAATCATGTAAGCACATAAGGTCAAAGCCAGCATAGGTATGATAAGGTAAGCAAGGAGAACAAATATCGAAAACTTTTTCCTTTAACAAATGAATAAATAGTACTGGACACATAGCAGGCATAGAAATGTAGAATATGATAGGAAATGCACGACTGATAAATTGGAAAACTACAAGACTATTGATTATGCCATTAAAGTGAGAAATCATAGTGAATGGGTTAAGCATGCAAAAGACAATCCATTAAAAAGATTAACCATGAAAAAGACAATAATCCCTCTTGAAAATAAACCACAGCTTTATTAAGCATAGTAACCACAGATTTACTACCACAGTTAAATCTTTGCTAGAGTTGCAAACCCATGGGTAATTAGTGCTTATCATAATTTAACAAATATAAAATAATAATAATAATAATAATAATAAACCAAACCTTTTGTTGATTTATCTTAATTTTCACGAGGGGTGTTAGCGTTTTGATGTGAATAAATTAAAAGAAAGTATTTTATATAATAATTAAGTTACCTAATTGCTAGTAAACTATTAAAACAGTTAATTTTCATAAACCATTTTCAGACAGAATGAGCGTACAGGAGTTCATGAACGCATCCAATGCTAAAACGGCTTGCCACACGCTTTCTGCCTGTTAATGGGGCAAAGACTCCTCAAACACAACACGCGAGCTTGCAGTTCTCGCCCAAAATAGAGCACTAAATCACATTGCTCACTTCACGCCATAATCTGTCAAACGAAATGGAAAAATAAACCCCGAAAAAAGAAAGCTGCAACTACAGCCGCACCACAGGAAAAAGTCACAAACCTCCACGCCAAAAGCGTTCATTATTTAACCTCCCCAATGTCGCATTATACATTTAGGATGTTTGCACTTGCAGAAACCAGCGTGAATTTAAAACAGCGCTTCAACAATCAGTGGGATAATAAAAAAAGAAGAAGCTGTGGCTCATCATGACGCAGGCTTATACGCACCATTCTGCAGTCCGAGACGGCAAGCAGAGCTTCGCTGCTCTCCCGGCGCTCCGACTCTCTGGACGGGGCTTTACCGCCGATCTGGAAAATGGTCCCGGCAGTTCTGGGGCGGTTTTTGCGCCCATTCGGTGCAGAACTCATGCATACACATCAAGTGAAGAAACTGCCCTGATATAAAATGCTGATTGATCAATATACTGCCGCCGGTTTGCTAAACGTCTTACTCAATTGATCGATCTGCTCCTGGATTCTCTCCGCATTGCCGCGACGCAGAAGCCGAGTCACCTTCATTCACTCCAGCAGACAGCCGAAGTGTCCTTGCAGGGCTTCGTCTTATTCAGCAGAGAGAAATGCGATAACAAAGAACCAGATGCAAACATGTCTTGATGCCCCGTACAGTCCTTCAACAAAGAAAGAATAGCTGCTGCTTAAAAAAAACCAAACACCCCGCCGCGAGAATCTTTGCTCCCAAAAATGGACTAATATGCGGCGCAAGTGTGAACGCTCAACTCTGTGCGGCGTTTATTGAGAGTAGATTGCAGAAGGTGATCTAAGAGCGCTATTCTAACCTTGATAGGTGCAGTTGCTTGAGGCATGACGTGGTTGAACACACTGCACTCTCATAGGATGAGAATACTAATGCAACAGATTCACCAACTCCAGTGTGCACGGCTTCATCAAATGTGCCACTGAAGGATGGAGGCAGCAGAAATACACAGATCAAATGTACCGACGAACATCGTAAAAGCCTAACCAAGATGATTTAAGGGTGTTAACTGGTCTTTTCAGGCTGGTCATTATAGAGTTTGGCATGTGGAAAGTGCACAAAACCATTTAGCCTACCTATAAGCCTAGCGGGATATTTAAAACAATTAAACCATTCGGTTTAAAAGTGTTTTGGCAAAATATGCAATTTATCAATCTACTGTATACTCATGACTTAATATGAATTTAATCTATTTTATCATTAAGAGGCAGCATTAACTTAAATTTAAAAAAGTGATGATATAAATATAATTCATATTAACTGCAAGTAAACTATGTAATGGTGATAATGAAGTAAAAATGTTGGTGAAATGCATTCATTATAATGGTAATAAATTTGATTAGATTTGATTAATTTAAATTAAATACCATTTGCTGGTAAAAAGGTAGCAGTTTGAAGGATTAGATAGAGATTTAAAGTTACAATTAATTAACATTTTTGTGATTTCTATTCATTTATATATTTGTATATTTTTTAATATTTTTTTGTGTTTTTTGTAAACCATGATAAAATATACAGTGCTCATAATTAATAATTAATAAAAGTAATTAAATAAAATTCAGTTAAATTAATTTTAAAAATTATTTTATTCATTTCTCAGTGAATAGGCAATATATGTTTTGTACATTTAATCAAGACAGATTTAATAAACAGGTATATATATTTTTTAAATAATATTTTTGTCTTTGAACAGCTTTAGAATTAGAAAGGTTATACATTTAAATTCATGTGAAATATTAATGTTTTATTTATTTATTCGTGTTTATTCATATAGCATATTTACAATGCAGATTGTGTCAGATTAGCTTGACAAAAAAAAGTTCCAGTAAATTGAAAAAGTGTCAGTCTAGTTTCCAGAAATATTGGGGGGAAAATTACAAACTACAAAATTTTAACAAAAATGTATACATTTTTCTGTTTCGCTTAAATTTTGCTCTTTTAATTTTTTTAATTTAATATTTTTTCCTAACAAATACATTTGGGCTACTAATTTTTGGACCATTACCATCAGTTATTCTGTTAGATTAGGTCCAGATTTGGCTTCAGCACTGACTAATAATGTTTATGCACAAATATAATATTGTAAAGCTTTATATAGATAATATTAATTTAAATGAGATATTTGTGAGGCGTGTACTCATACAATATTTCCCAAATGATGTTTAACAGAGCAAGGATATTTTCACAGTATGTCTGATAATATTTTTTTTTCTTCTTCTGGAGAAAGTCTTATTTGTTGTATTTCGGCTAGAATGAAAGCAGTTTTTAATTTTTTAAAACCTATTTTAAGGTCAAAATTATTAGCCTCTTAAGATTTTTTTCGATTGTCCACAGAATAAACCATCTTTATACAACAATTTGCCTAAATACGCTAACCTGCCTAGTTAAGCTAATTAACCTAGTTAAGCCTTTAAATGTCACTTTAAGCTGTATAAAAGTATCTTGAAAAATATCTAGTAAAATATTATGTACTGTCATCATGGCAAAGATAAAAGAAATCAGTTATTAGAAATTAGTTATTAAAACTGTTATGTTTAGAAATGAGTTGAAAAAATATTCTCTCTATTAAGCTGAAATTGAGGGGAAAAAAATAAACAGCGGGCTAATAATTTAGGGGGCTAATAACTCTAACCTCAACTGTTTGTTGAGCACTGTATATTACATAAAATATTCTAAAACATAAATAAATAAATAAATTAATTAATTAAAAGTGACATTCTGATTTTTAAGCTGTATTGCAGTCTTATCTATTACATCTCAAGCTTCATCTCAAATGCATCTCAATAAATATTCATCAATGAAAATAAGTAAAAATAAGTTAAATTCAAGTAATGTTTTCAAATAACATTTTATAAAATATCTAAATAGTATGGCAAAATAGTGTTCCATCATCAATGAGTGTAATAAAATATGTACAAATTAAAACAACATTTATTAATATACATAAAAGTACAGTTAATTATAATGTTTTTATATTTAACAAAAAATCCTTATAGCAGACAAACAAATACCCCCATGTTATTTTATTAAATAATAATAAAAATTTTCAAATTAAATTAAATCAAATTAGCACACACACCAAATTAATTCTGATCATTTTAAGCTGTGCTTTTTTATTTTGTGCTTTTCTATTTTGATTTTTTTATTATTAATAATTAAATTTATTATTTTATTTATTTCACCTATACAGAATCAAAAATAGTTTTTCATGTAACTTTCTTATGTTAGCAATCTCAAATAAACCGTATTAAATATTCATGAATGGAAAGTACTGTAGCTACTTATGGTTTGTTATTAGGAAATGCTCTATCAGTGGTTGAATCATGCTGTTTGTTGTAATAAATCCTAATTGTATAAAAAGCAAGAAACAAAATTAGACCTAATATTGGACAAATTACTAATTGCAGCCTTGTATTAGCGTTGCATTCTGCCAAGCCACTATAGAGAAACCACAGCGTTTGACATTTTACTAATGTAATCTATCTGTGTGCAACCGCTGAGATGAAAGTGATGTGATGAAGCTGATATGAAGAACACTTGGTTTAGAACAAGACAAAATTTCTAAACAAAGACTGGACAAAGCTTACAATGGCTGAAACTTTATGCTTTCAACATGAAATATTTATTTAAGTGTATCTTGTTTTTTAAATAAAATGATGTCATTAAATATTTACAAATAGTTGCATAACGATATGCAGCCAGCAAATCTGCTGCAACTGCATGTGTCTGACATGTCAACTTAAAGAAATAATTCTCTTTTTTCAATCTATGACATAAATAAATAATATTATTATTCAATATATCCATATCTATATATTAATTCATTATCCAACCCATAAATGGAAATTGTAATATTAATTACCTTTAGTCAAGTATAAATTTTATCTGACGTAAAATCTTCTTGATTGCAGGGGTGCTCAAAAATAATACTTAAATGAACACTACACTTTAAAAAGGCTCCTTTTACAGTTGTGATTTTTTAATTCATTCAGCTGATCTGTTGTTACATTCCTTGATTAATACTCCGGAATGAAAACATTGTTCTATATCCTATATACAGTTGAAGTCAGAATGTGTGTGTGTGTGTGTGTGTGTGTGTGTGTGTGTGTGTATTTGATGTTTCTTCATGCTAAGCATGCTGTTTAAGTGTCTGTTTACAAAATGTGCGCGAGTTAAAAAAGTGGTAAGGAGTAACTGCTTTTTATTTTCAAAAATGTAAAGCAAAAGTACAAGTAGTCAATTTTAATGAAGTAAAATTAATAAGCACCCTGCTTAGTAATGATTTAACAGATCAATAACAATAAATGTGAGCATTTATTATTGAGACCAGTCGAAGAACCATAATGACAAATACTATACCATAATGAGAAATACCGTAAAACAACAATTAAGACAGGTTTTGTTAACAATTAGGTTGACTGGATTTGGATTTATTTACGTGACAATTGCACTTTTGAAATAGTTTTAGCATTTAGTTTGTGTTGTTTCATGTAACAGTAACACTTTATTTTGATGGTCTATTTATGTATTAGCAGACTGCCTGCTTAATACCAGTTGATACTGCTACTTTAACTGACTATAAGAAACTTTGCAAATCAGCTTACACTAACCCTAACCCTTACCCTAAACCCAACCTAACAGTCTACTTATAAATAATGAGAATTAGTTGGCATGTATATGCCATGTAACTTAAATTCAACAAACAATCAAAATAAAGTGTGACCCGTGTAACAATGTATTTATACAGAATATAGAGCATGCAAATTCATCTTGCTGTAAACTGAATAGTCCACTCATGTGATCCAAATCCAAAGCAGTCACAATTCTGCATAAATTCTGCACAAAAATCATTATCATTGAAACAGTATGAATGCATTTGGCTCAATGATTGGTGTTTTTTCATATAAATCCAGAAGTAGTAGCAGCACGCAATTCCTTTCTTTCAGACTTCTGTATTGTCATAAAAGATCTGAAATACTGTGACAGCTTCCTGTGCTTTCGTTTTAAAATGAGAGGAAGAAGAAATAGCAGAAGAAGCAGAAGATAATGAAGCCAATGACCCAGTTGACGGAGTATATATAGATGATCACCATGTCCATGTCAAATCGCCAGCCATGCGAATCATCCTCAAAGTTGAAGGCATCAAGCCGGTAGCTGCCGTGAGGGAACTGGCGTCTGCCGATTGGACTTGCCTGCCTTTGAAAGCCTCATACACACAAAAAGATAACAATAAGTTTTATTAATTATAACATCTAAGTGTGTCAACTAAGTAAGACCAAAGTTAAAGCACAACTTACAGTTTTCCTCAAATTTGAGAGCAATTGAAGTTATCCTAACATGAGTAAACTTTTTTTTTTTTTTGTCACCAGACTAGTGATGTCACAAGTCTTACTCAGGACATCACTAGTCTCTTCTTAGGCCATAAGTAGATGTTCAGACATCACTAGTTTCTCATACTCTTGGCTGTGTTTTTGATTTGCTCTTCTTCAGTCTCTTACATAGCTCATTGACTGTTGTTCATAGCTATAACTTTATCATCAATGATTTTTTTTTTTCAATCAGGTTAACATCAGGATTCTAGGCTGTCATTTCCTTATTTTTAATGTTTTCAGTTTCAAGGAGCTACTTCATTTATTTTCCTATGTGATGGCTCATTGTCCTGCTTGAAAATGGCTATTTGATTGGGCAATGAATGCAGGAAAGGAGCCACATGTTTCAGTCTCTGTCGTGTATCTAAATAAGATGTTGAACCCCTGCTGCAAAATACCTCACCAAACCATGACACTCCATGACACCTTCCACTGATCTCTGCATACACGTTGGGTTCAGTCTTTCCTAGTTTTCTCACAAATATAATGTAAAATATAGTATATTAAAGTAAAGCTTTCAGTCCAAACAACATGCTTCTTAGCTAAAGGTTAGCTTCACCTTTTTGTTTTGCCTTTTTAAAGCTGTTAGTGAGTAATAATGCAAACAAGCATTATGCGCAGATTTGGAATGACGCTTTTCTTGCTATTATTTGAAGCCTTGTCCCTTTGACCTACCTTCATTTACACAACTTGCTGTCAGAGGGTTTCAAAAACTTCAGAATGGCTCTCCATCTTGGAAATGCAATCAAACCAGGTACCAGATAAACAGCAGTAACTGAAATGGTTCCCTAATTTAAATTTGTGTTTTTTCCGGACTTTATGTACACTACCTGACAAAAGTCTGGTTGTCGATCCCAGTTGTAAGAGCAAAAAATAATAACTTTTCTTCTAGTTGATTCTTTGGAAAAGTGGCAGAAGGTAAATTTCTCAGATTAATCATTTTGAACTCCATACCAAAGATCACAAATACTGCAGAAGACATATTGGAACCTGCATGGACCCAAGACTCTCCAGAAATCAGTTAGGTTTGGGGTTACATTTATTATGGGGCGTGCAAGAGATCTGCAGAGTGAATGGCAACATCATGAGCCTGGGTTATCAAGACATTTGTGCAGCCCATTGCATTACAAACCACAGGACAGGGCAAATTCTTCAGCAGGATAGCGCTCTTTCTCCTATCTCAGCCTCTACATCAAAGTTCCTGAAAGCAAAGAAGGTCTAGGTGCTTCAGGATTGGCCCACCCAGTCACCAGAAGTAAACATTATTGAGCATATCTGGAGTAAGATGAAAGAGGAGGCACTGAAGATGAATCCAAAGAATCTTGATGAACCCTGGGAGTCCTGCAAGAATGCTTTCTTTGTCATTCCAGATGACTTTATTAAACAGTTTTTTGAGTCATTGCAGAGATGTATGGATGCAGTCCTCCAAGCTCCTGGAAGTCATACACAATATTAATTATTTTTCACTGCACTACGACTTTATATTCTATACTGTACATTATTGTACAAGTAAAGTCTGACCTTACTGACTTTGAAATAATTAAAAATAAAGGTATGATCATATTTTATTTTGCTAAAATAAGCATAGCCTTGAGGTCTTCGCCTTTTACATAAACCACCTCTGATACCAAATGATCAACTACAAGTCAAGTTATTGATTGTTGTTTCTTAAACTTGGATAGGCGACACGACTATGGTCAGGTAGTGTACAGTAGCTCATGAAATATGCTTTAAAACTGTTCTTTCATAACTGTTAGGAAACCTGACTAAGCTGTGACCTCAAAATGGATGAAATTGCAGGTTGTTCTCTAATTTTGATCTCTACTGTATTTGTAATTGGTGCAACAGAATATGGTTTTACCTCCAAAAATGCGAAACAGTTTACGGCAGCTTGGAAGAGGCCATTTTGCACAGCTCGCTTTCTGGAAATTCTGTTTTCGAGACAGGTATTCCTTTGGGAAGAAGGTACGAGCTGTATGGTTCAGTTCTGCGGAGAGTGGGATGTGTGAATTTATTAATCTGTGAATCATTAGTGTGCTCAGTCCAGTGCGCTTTACTTTCAGAAGCCCTGACTCAATATATACATATTTACATATCTGTCTTGATATATATGTTTTATATATGTAAAATTTAAAGATGATATATGTGTTTTGCTTATATAGCCATATATCAGATTTAAATATCTTCAATGCAATAGGTCTTACCCATTTGTCAGCAAAAAAATAAATAAATAAAAATATGGAAAAACATAATAGTTTGAATCACTTATATAGATCAGAGTAAGCATATTTTGTTTTAACATAAATATATCTGTTACACTGAACATCATTTCACAGCAATATTTTGACATTATACACATAATTTTGACACTAAAGCATTTAAAGGGACAGTTCACCCAAAATGAAAAGTCTATTTTTATAATATTTTAAAGAATGTTTGTAACCACTTACTTCCAAAGTATTTATTTTTCTTACTGTTTAAGAATGAGGTCTGTGGCTACCATGAAATGTTTGGTACATCATATCTTATTTCAAGTTCAATAGAATAAACTATTGATGGTGCAAATGCTGAGTATTTTTCCCTTGTGAATACTCCTTTAAATATGCTTTCTATATATCTGAAATTTTAAAAGGGGGTTTCAAACATCTAGAAATCCCTATGGCCAAAATAAATGGAAAGAAGTACCCCAGAGCCAAAGCCACTGAAAATGCTGTTTAATCACTTAAGAGGTCTGTAATGTGCAGGAAGGATGTGAAATGTGAAGCTCTCATTAGCTTCAATCATTAAATGTCTTCATTACATCATGATTTACGAAAGCACATTCTAATTATTCCAATAATCCGCAATCTTCTAAAACTATAATCATACTCTAACATATATTCAAAACTCAGCACCAGATAAATATATACAATAGTTAACAAAATTGTCTTTTTGCCTCATCTTTCTGCATTCATTTATCCCTTTTTCTCATGTGTATAAGTTCAGGTTTTCTTACAGTTTTTCTCAGTCGCTTTGATGCATTTCTCACAACACTACTTACTTTAGTACAACAGTTAATGCATTTCTCAAAACAATTAGTCATTTGTGCACATCCTAGAAGCAGTTTCTCATTCCTCCCAACAAATTGCAAATGCTTTTGGACATGCATCAATTGTTTTCATACAACTCTCTGCCATTTATAACATTATCATTCGCTTATGTCATGTCAGTCAAAATTAACTAAACTTGTAAATGCTGAACTCTCATTGCATATAAAACTAGCAGTCTTCATTTCATTACTTTAGTCATTACATATAAAAATGTTGAACTAGTTGTCAAAATCTAGCAAATTTTATTAAAAAACAAATAAATCTTTGTTATTCTGAAAATGTCTTTTAAATGTAACAATTTCATGAATGATTTACAGACCTGTGTTGTAGGCTCAGTTCCAATATGTTCTGCAATATGGTTTACAGTTGTGCCCAGCTTTACCCAAAGGAAGCTTATGCTTGTTGTAAATAAGGGTGTATTTATTCTTTTGCAAAATTCTTTGAATAAATAAGAATTGCAACGAGCATCTGCAGTAAAAAATGTGAAACATACATATTCAGTGTCTTGTACTCAGATACCTAAATGCAGTGATGTCTAACTTTGCTGTAGTTTTCAAATGGCTGTGCAAATAGTATGAAGTGCTGTCTTGAGCAGTTTTTAGGAAGTGTCACCAACATCTGACATTTTTGCATTGAAAAAATGTCCAGAGTAAACTGTCATAATGAAAACATGACAAAGCCATTTGACTATCTTGTCTATAAACAATGGTGTCAGGACTTTTCGTTTTGATGATACTGACACTTTGATTGACATGAATACTTGCTTTTAAGGAATGAACTATCCATTTTGAGCATGTGACGCGCTTTTGCAGGTTATCAGCTAGGTTTTGCAGTTTGTACTAATTGTTTTAAGAAATGCATTAACTGTTGTGCAGAAATGCACTGGTGTTGTGAAAGATGCACCAAAGCCACTGAGAAAAACTGTAATTCAGTGTCATGAACTTTCTCCGTCAGATCTCAGCTTATGTCTGTTCTTCTGCTCTGGTTCTGTTAATCTTGCTAAACTATTTGAGGGTAAATTCAGAAGGTTACAGTTTTTCTCAGACGCTTTGGTGCATTTCTCACAACACTATTTACATTTGCACAACAGTTAATGCAAACTGCAAAACAATTAGTGCAAACTGCAAAACCTAGCTGATAACCTGCAAAAGCACGTCACTTGCTCAAAATGGATAGTTCATTCCTCAAAAGCAAGTATTCATGTCAATCAAAGTGTCAGTATCATCAAAATGAAAAGTCCTGTCACCATTGTTTATGAACAAGATAGTCAAATGTCATGTTTTCATTATGACACTTTACTCTGGACATTTTTTCAATGCAAAAAAAGTCAGATGTTGGTGACACTTGCTGAAAATGCTCAAGACAGCACTATATACTATTTGCACAGCCATTTGAACACTACAGTAAAGTTAGACATCACTGCATTTAGTGAAGTATCTGAGTACAAGACACTGAATATGTATGTTTCACATTTTTACTGCATTTGCTCTTTACAATTCTAATTTATTCACAGCTATGTGCAAAAGAATAAACACACCCTTATTTACAACAAACATAAACTCCCTTTGGGTAGAGCTGTGCTCAACTGAAGACAATATTGCAGTACATATTGGAACTGAACCTACAACATACACAGGTCTTTAAATCAGTCATCAAATTGTTCAATTTTTAAGACATTTTCAGCAAAATAAAGTTTTACAATTTTTTTATAAAATTTGCTTGACAGATTTTGACAACTAGTTCAACATTTTTGTGTGTAATGACTCAAGTAATGAAACAAGGACTATTAGTTTTATATGGAATGACTATTCAGCATTCACAAGTTTAGTTAATTTTGACTGACATGACATAAGCAGATGATAATGTTCTAAACAGCAGAGAGTCGTATGAAAGCAATTGATGCATTTCCAAAAGCATTTGCAATGTGTTGGAAGGAATGAGAAACTGCTATTATGATGTGCACAAATGACTAATTGTTTTGAGAAATGCATTAACTGTTGTGCAAATGTAAATAGTGTTGTGAGAAATGCACCAAAGCGACTGAGAAAAACTGTAATATTAAGTGGCGTTCTGTGGGAATATCTCATTTAAATCTTTCAAGCCGCTGTTATTGGTTTTATGCACAGACGGACGGACGGACGGACAGACAGACAGACAGATTTTTAACAAATTACCCAAAAAAATGAAAAATATAGACAGAAAGAAAGAAAGAAAGAAAGACTTTTTAAATGTAATATTATTATGTGAGACCGACCCTTCTGGAAGAAGACGTGTGTGATGGTGGTCCTGCAGAGTGGGCAGGGAGTGTTGCTGGGGCAATTTTTGGCCAGCGTCCGGAGGCAGGGCTCACAGAAGACATGGCTGCAGGGGTGACACATGTATGGGCTGAAATAAACATCCAGACACACAGCACAGATGAAGCCCTCACGCTCGTCCTCATCCTCACTGCTGCTGCTGGATGGCTGTCCTGTAGAGCCCTTTAGTGGAGAGAGAGAGAGGAGAGCAGAAGATCAGACCAACAGCCTGATCTGCTTCACATTGATACTTGACCATCGTTTTCTCTGTAAACGGGACTTTAACACTAGAACTACCAGGAGTTGTTGTACAGCATAGTGAAAACCACCAGCAGGTAAAATGTACCCACACAGATGATTACTGTTTTTATACGGCTAAAAAACATGGTACAAATGGCCTGTTTTGAATCTGGTTTTATTTACACATTTTTAGCAATAAGGGACAACTTACAAATACTCAGGTTTCTGTAATTAAGTAGTTTTTGTTTTCTCAGGAATTTTATGTTACTAAGTACTGTTAGTTTTAATAAATTGTACTTTTACTTTTCATGCATTTTTGTTACATCATTACTTGTGCTGCCCTTCCTTCAACTTGCACTCACTACTTTATATGTACATTTCAACCCAGGCTCATTCTGAAAACATATCGATTAATACATTTCTAGCGCCAAATACGTCCCAGGAGTATTTGTTGTTGGTGGACTGACTGACTGATCGACTGATCCACCCTCCTCCGACCCTAAACCCAGCCAATAGTGTTTTCAAAAGCACAGATTGCCCCCCCCCCCCCCACTTCCCTAAACCCAACCAACAATTTTACAAAGCAATCCAGAAAAAGCCCTCGTCTAATTTTTCTCTTATTACTTGTTTATTTTATTTATTTATTTAAATTTTTTTTTGCTTGCTTTTGTCTGCGTGGTCAACTCCTCTCTGCGCCTCGAGTCAAATGACGTACATGGCGAGATAACTAGACAAGCTGTTAACAGTGGGAAAGCCGTCCATACGGAGGTAATCGGTCAGCTAGTATGTGCGAAAAATGAACACCGTCATACAGCCCCATATCGTTTGTTTAAAAGACGAAATGCAGCCATACATTTTTCTGGCTACATAATTCGCAAATGGTTAATTATTTTTTCTTATCTACAGTGATTGGCTAAGTAGAATAATCAGTCTTGTGATTACCATCCAATCAAATCGTGTTTGAAAATTCTGGCAGAACAACTTCAAGACACAGATGCTTTATAAACGCAGCCAACATGTGCAACGCAATAAGTGTTTAGACTGTATGATGAGAAATGAAGGATGATGAAAATCTCCAAAAGGGGCTTAAACAATAATAAATGCACTACATAATGTTATGTTTTCAAACACATGCACAGATAACATGGATTCCATCAGTGCTGCAGGAGCTTAAATCAAGGTTTAATATTTTTACTCAAGTAAAAATATTACCTGCTACCACAACTTGGTAAAGACCTGTTTGAGATTCTTTCCTGTGATTCACAATTACTGGTGACTACTAACTAACGACTGCTAGTTTCTAACATTTTTCAAAATATTTAGTAATTGTGTTATATATAAATATTATATAATAAGGGGCGAAGCAGTGGTGTAGTAAGTAGTGCTGTTGCCTCACAGCGAGAAGGTCGCTGGGTCGCTGGTTCGAGCCTCGGCTCAGTTGGCGTTTCTGTATGGAGTTTGCATGTTCTCCCTGCATTTGCGTGGGTTTTCTCCGGGTGCTCCGGTTTCACCCACAGTCCAAAGACATGTGGTACAGGTGAATTGGGTAGGCTAAATTGTCTGTAGTGTATGAGTGTGTGTGTGAATGTGTGTGGATGTTTCCCAGAGATGGGTTGCAGTTGGAAGGGCATAATAAAACTTGCTGGATAAGTTGGTGGTTCATACCCCGGATTAATAAAGGGAGTAAGCCGATAAGAAAATGAATGAATAATATATAATAAGTGTGTACAGCAGAAGCAAAGCATGGGACACAAAGCATGGGAATCATCTGAGGGGGAGTAACTGGTGAGTATTTGATGTTTCGTTTTAAGGAAACTGTCGGTTTATCTTAAATGCTCTTGTTTTGGATTGTGTTACAGACTGACAAGTTTGATCAGACTCCTCCGGGGCCCTTCCAGTCATGAAGAGCTCCAGAGAGCATGAGTCGTCTTCCCTAGGTGTGTCATTATCACCAAATACACATCATGTTATCACCAAGACTTCACATTCCACTTGGCAACTCAGTAACAACATCCACAAAACATTCCTCTGTTAAAAGCAAAAATAATAATGCATTCATCCAGTTCATTCATACATAAATACATATATCCAATAAATAGTTTTGAAAAAACAAATTAAAAATCATATAAAATACTCTGGACATAATAACTAACTAACTAAATAATTAATAATAAATAATAATAAATTAATGCATATTTATCAACAATAAATAAATAAATCTATCAAAAATAAAGGTTTTTAACTAGAATTTTTGTTGACAAATAATAATGACAAATGTTTACCACTCCTATTTTCCACAAATTAAATATTTCTCATTTTTATTTGTCATAAAAATAAAATAAAATAATTAGAATAAAATTGAATAAAACCTTTGTTTATTATATATATCTACCACTGCATTGACTGCTGGATTTAGGATTTTGTGTCCTGTCAAACCATTACAGATTAACCCAGCAGACAATGACAAACAAAGGAGCAATAGAGCAATATATTATGAATATATATGAAAAATATATTAAACAAAAAAACTGGAGTTATACTGAAAGGCCAGTGCTTTCTAGGAGCAGACATGGTTTGTAATTTGTTGTGCATCAATCAAGATCAGAGATACATTTACATTTTAGTATAATTTAAATATTTTATGTCCTTTCACCAGAGATACAGTAAGTTACTGCAGGTAAATGAGATTACTGCTTTGAATTAAGAATCTCAAACACAGAACATGTTGACTGTTAAAAGGTGCCCTCTGCTGGAAAATTTTACATTTTGGGTTAATGATCTAAGAATGATCTGCTGGCTTTGTATTGTGCTCTGTTTGTATTTTACTAGAAAAAGAGAGAGAAAAGAAAGTAATGATGAATATATTTGAGTAAAAGTAAACTATAACATAAAGGTCATTATAGTAAAAGTCCTATAGTCCTTTATCCTATAATAATAAAACTTAATATGAAATATTACATTTATTTTAGCAAATGTAATGAATAAAGTCTGTCTAGCAATAACAAATAATAAACAATAAACAAATTATCTAAATATTATTATTATTATTATTATTATTTATTTATTTATTTATTTATTTATTTATTTATTTATTTATTTATTTATTTATTTATTTATTTATTATTGTTATCATCATTATTACTAATAATTTGCCATCAAATCTATTTGTTCACTTTAATCTCTACATGAATGATAATTCTGCACATAACATAACCCCATGTGATTATAAACTAGTATTTTAATAATTTAGCAAAACATTTACACAATTCTCTGAGTTTAATGAGGTGGCTTACAAATTTCATTGTTTTATGTTTTTTCAATATTTTTTTATAAATGTTTTCTGCTACTGGACACTGCAAACGAAACAACTGAACATAACTTTAATCTGTATGATTACCAAAGTTGGTTTGTACATATGATTAACTGGTTGTGATCTAATCACAACTGACAAGCTAGCTAACTAACTAAAAGGTAAAAAAATAATAATAATAATTCAGACAATTCAGACAATTCAGACAGACTACACTAAAAAAATGGTTCGTTGCAAATTGTTGCAAATTGAATTTAAACAAACAAATTAAGTTAAACGCTACTACTTTTGTTTGTTTAAATTTAGTCCAAATAAATTGATTGCAACAATTTACCTTAAAAATGAGTAAATGCTATGAATCATGTTTTTTATTTATTTTTTTGGTATGTAAATATGCTTCTACACTGTAAAAAAAATCTTTCTGCTTTAAGTTTTTAATTAAATCAATCAAATGTTCTAGTCATCTCAATTTACATCAGCCAGACTGACTAAAATATTAAGTTAAACTTATTAACTTATTTACTAAAATAAGTTAAATTAACATAAAAAACATTTGTTGTCATGACTGCTTGTCACATCACTTTAATGGTGTACTGAATGTTGGCTATGCTGGATTGTTTCTGGCAAATATATTTCTAAAGAAAGTGTTGACATGAAATTGACCCAGATTTTGGTAATCAAAGCAAAACAAAACAAAATTAAACTATTAAAACATACAATAGAAATCAGAATAAAAACTTGTTATGTGTAATAACAATGAAATGACACAAGTCATTGTATGGAGGATGGAGTCTTAAGCAGTGCTTAAATGTGATTTTTTACTCAGACTTAAAAGAGTTTAAAAATATTGACAGTTCTTTGAGTCTCGTCTATAAACTCTGATCTTTAGTTCTTATTTTTTATTGTATTTTCGTTTCTGAAAACAGTTGAGAGTTTCTTGGGGTCATTGTCTTGTTTTCCACACTGGTTTCATCTTCATCATCCTGGTAATGAAGCTGTTTGGACTGAAGAATAGAATATTCATTTACTACAGGGGTCCTCACAACCCCTTGCCCTGCACACTATGTATGCCTTCCTTACTTAAAACGCCTGATACAGACGATCATCAGAAAGATGAACGGATCCGTGTGTGTTAAATAAGAAAGATACAAAATGTGCAGGGTGGGGGTCCCTGTGGATCGAAATTAAGAACCACTGATTTACACTGACAAGGGGGACGGTTACTTTCTAACTACTGTTAGACTGTGACTGTTAACTGTCTAAGGGTGCTTTCACACCTGTGAATCGATTCAGTTGTTCCGAAACAGAGATTAAAATGGTTACATTGTTGCTCTTTGCTCTTGGAGCGGTTCGCTTTCACAATGCAAAGTTTCTAATCGGACCAAAAGAGCTAAAACAAGTCACGTGCGAGTAAACTCCTTACATTGGTCAGAGTGTCAGGGTTTATTTTGCAGCGTCCCGCTAAGCTGTCAGGAGAGGTGGTGGTTTGGTGGTGATTGACAGGGTGCGCGCGCGCGCGACGTGTCTGAGGAGAGACGCGGTGGGGAGGGGTGAGAAGGGTGCGCGACGATGCCTATTTGAGGACTGGGAGAGAGACGCGAGATTACCGGGAGATCATCCCTCGTTTGCGGGCATCCGGAGACTCGCGAAACTTCCCGCCCTACTCATAATTCTCTCTTCATATAGCCGTAAGCCTATTACATATCCATAAAACACTGTCATATAACCGCGCTCGGATCGGATCGCTTTCTCACTGCAATCGAACCGCTCCAGGGTTCGTTTCAATCGAGCCGAGACCACCTCATTCAAGCGATCTCGGAGCGATTACTTTGGCGCGGAACAGAGTGCGATTGCCCTGTTCACATAAGCCAATCGAACCGCGCTAACTGGGCAAACGAGATACGTTCCGAAACAAAAGTGTAGGTGTGAAAGCACCCTAAGATTGTAGCTGCTCTCTGGGCTATCCATGTATTTTTACAATTCTCTTTCTTCATGTTCTTCAATTTTTTTAACCTATGCAATTCCATTTTATTACACATGATAATAAGTTTTTATTTACTTCTATATACATACATACAGTTAAAGTCAGAATTATGACTTTTAAATTTTAAATTTTAAATTTTAAATTTTCTTTTCTTTTTTAAATATTTCCCAAATGATGTTTAACAGAGCGAGGAAATGTTCACAGTATGTCTGATAATATTTTTTTCCTCTGGAGAAAGTCTTGTTTGTTTTATTTCAGCAAGAATAAAAGCAGTTAAGTTTAAGCTTACTTTAAGCTTTTTACTTACTTTAAGCTGTATAGAAGTGTCTTGAAAAGCATCTAGTAAAATATTATTTACTGTCTTCAAGGCAAAGATAAAATAAATCAGTTATTAGAAATGAGTTATTAAAACTATTATGTTCAGAAATGTGTTGAAAAAATCTTCTCTCCGTTAAACAGAAATTGGGGAAAAAATAAAAAGGGGGTCTAATAATTCTGACTTCAACTTTATATCATTATTATTGCACAATACTTGACTCCATAACCCTGGCTGTGTTTGCCAGTGTTCGTGCTTCACCTGCAGATTTTCTAGTCGGCAGAGATCTCTCCTTCGCTGTCTCCTTCTCAGGCTCCTCATCCTCCTTCTCTCTCTTTTACTCAGACGTCGTTCCCCCGTGGGAGAGATGGTGAGCTGGGATGAAGCTCCGTTGAGCCCTGCTAGAGCTCCATCAGTCTCCAATTCCTCCTCAGAGCTGCTGAGAGACATCAGATGAGCTCTGCGGCTCAATTCCTGATCCTCACCAGAGCCTCCAATCACCAGAAGAGGGGAAATTAGACAAAATTTAAAATACTCATAAAAATAATTATTCAAAAAAAAAAAAAAACAGTAAATGTAATAACTTTAATAACTGAGTTAGAGTAATAAAGTGTCTAATGAGAAGACTACTGAGCTGACAAGTTACTTCTGTTTTAAAGAAATTAAGAGAAACCCCTGATTTTCAGTCACATCTCATTGAAAGTCTGTGTGCTCAGTTTAAATAATATGCAATGTAGCTTAAATGTACAGTATACACTCACTGGCCACATTATTAGGTACACCTTACTTGTGCTGGGTTAGACCCCCTTTTGCCTTCAGAACTGCCTTAATCCTTCATAGTATAGATTAATTAAGGTACTTAAAATATTTCTCAGAGATTTTGATCCATATTGACATGATTGCATCGCACAGTTGCTGCAGACTTGTTGGCTGCCCATCCATGATGCAAATCTCCCGTTCCACCACATTCCAAAGGTGCTCTATTGGATTAAGATCTAGTGACTGTGGAGGCCATTTGAGTACAGTGAACTCATTGTCATGTTCAAGAAACCAGTGTCAGATGATTTGCGCTTTTTGACATGGCACATTATATTGCTGGAAGTAGCCATCAAAAGATGTGTACACTGTGGTCATAAAGGGATAAATGGTCAGCAACAATATTCAGGTAGACTGTGGTGTTGACTCGATGCTCAATTGGTACTAATGGGCCCAAAGTGTGCCAAAAAATATCCCCCACATCATTACACCATCACCACCAGCCTGAAACGTTGATACTGTTGATGCTGTTGACTGCAAGTGCTGACGCTACCATTCAAATGATGCAAATTGAGACTCATCAGACCAGGCAACATTTTTCCAATCGTGTATGTTCACTTTTGGTAAACTGTTGCCTCAGTTTCCTTTTTTGTCTTCTGCTGCTGTAGACCATCCACCTCAAAGTTTGACATGTTGTGCATTCAGAGATGCTCCTCTGCATTCCTCGGTTGTAACAAATGTTTAATTGGGTTACTGTTGCCTTTCTATGAGCTTTAACCAGTCTGGCCATTCTCCTCTGACCTCTGGCATCAACAAGGCATTTGTGCCCACAGAACTGCCACTCACTGGATATTTTTTTTATCTGACCATTCTCTGTAAACCCTAGAGATGGTTGTGTGTGAAAATCCCAGTAGATCAGCAGTTTCTGAAATACTCAGACCAGCCTGTATGTCAACAACAACCATGCCACATTCAAAGTCACTTAAATCACCTTTCTTCCCCATTCTGATGCTCTGTTTGAACTCCAGAAGATTGTTTTGACCATGATTTACATGATTATAAGCATTGAGTTGCTTCCATGTGATTGGCTGATTAGAAATTTGTGTTAACGAGCAGTTGGACAGGTGTACCTAATAAAGTGGCCGGAGAGTGTGTATATATATATATATATATATATATATATATATATATATATATATATATATATATATATATATATATATATATATATGTATACATATATATAAACCTCACAGAGCCTTTCAATTTCAATGAAATCTCAGTGAGGAATGTACACCTTATTTACATTTAAAATTATAGGCTCAAGTTCTACTTTATTCTTACAGATCCACATACTGTAATTCGCTGTATTAAGCATTTACATATAGTACTAAATAAAAAGCAGTGTATGTGTTGCTTTATAAAGATGTTTAAAATAAATCTACTCTTAAAATGTTTCTACTCTGTAGGGTTGGACAATATGACAGCAACTTAAAATAACAACAGTCATCTCATATCTTAATAACAACCTATATCACAATAAAGTACATTTATGTCAATTAATTTAATCAATTATCTATAAATTAAATCTATTGATTCTCTTCAGAAAATCTTCTTTTGTTTGTTCAACAGAAGAATGAAACTACTAAAGGTTTGGAACCACTTGAAGAATAGTAAATAATTAGTAAATGTTTATTTTTAGATGAATTATCCCTTTAAATATTTCATGTTTATTATTATTTTACAGGAACAGAGGAATACTGGAGTTTCAGTAAAGTTAAAAATACACTAAAAGTGCATTTAAAGAATACTTACTCTAGTAAAAGTAATGCATTACTACCCACCTCTGCCAATAACACCAGACCTCCTGGAAAGCATCATGGGAGGGCATAGGGAAGCGGAGGCCTGCTGACTGGTCCTAGACCTTAGTGTATGTCCATCCCAGAGTTCACAGTCTGCTTGACGATGGGTGTCCGTGTAGTCCAGACTGAAGGCCTTTCTGTGGGCAAGTCTGACCCTAAGTGAAGCCCTCTGCAGGGGCCGGATCTCCAGGCACAGGGCCTCTGCCGTTCTCCCGCGCTCTTCTCCTTCATGTGAGGCCATATCTGAGATCAGACATCCCAAGCTCTCCCCCCAGCACCACTGCAGGCCAGCGAACATTAGAGTTCATTGTTGAAGAGGTGAGCAGGAACATACTGGCCCCCCTGAGGCATTCGGCACTGTTGACAAAGGTAAAGCCCCCTAAATAGTGGCCGTTCAGCGAGCCGATTGTCCCTGGGCCTATAGAACTCAAACAAGACACAATGCATCCATTGTGTTATAAGAGTGGCAAAATTTAGGTGAAATAACGAGAGCAACCTTTTTCAGCAGCTGCCGTCAGCTCTTTTTCTGACCGAACAATCAGCAGCAAATACGACTATGATGGTCAGGAGGATTAAAATGAATTGGGCTTTTTTTAGTGCTATATAGTTATAGTACTTTGCACCAAATGAATTTAATAAATTGAGTAATTTAGTATAAAACAAATATGAAATATAAAAATAAATGTAATAAATGATATAATAATAAAACATATTTACTGGGTGTCACGGTGGTGCAATAGGTAGCATGATCGTCTCACAGCCAGAAGGTCGCTGTTTCGAGTCTTGGCTGGGTCAGTTGGCATTTCTGTGTGGAGTTTGCAATCTCTCCCCATGTTCGCTTGTGTTTCCTCCGGATGCTCCGGTTACCCCCACAGTCCAAAGACATGCGCTATTGACTAAGCTAATTTGGCCGTATTGTATGTGTGTTAATGTGATAGTGTATGGATGTTTTCCAATGTTGGTTTGTGGCTGGAAGGGCATCCTCTGCATAAAACACGTAAAACATATGCTGGATAAGTTGGCGGTTCATTTCGCTGTGGTGAAATACTAAGTAAAAATACTAAGTCAAAAAAAAAAGAATAAATAAATGAATAATTTACTAACTCACTCATTATCTTTCGGCTTAGTCCTTGATTTATCAGGGGTCACCACCCATAAACTCTCTCCTTCTCACACATTCACGATGGCCAGTTTTTTTTTTTTACCAAATTCACATGTATTGCATGTCTTTGGAGTATAGGGGAGACCTGGAGGAAAACCCACATGAACACTGAGAGAATAAGCAAACTCCACACCGAAATGTCCCATGGCACAACCAGGACTCGAACCAGCAATCTTCTTGCTATGAGGTGACAAATCTAACCACTAAGCCATCATGCCACCTATTTTTATATACTAATAGTGTATAATATATTAAAATGTATTTTAAATGTATTTAATATTTCAATAACAATAGTTTTATTTAATGTACACCATAATGGATAATATGATATTGAAAATCATATTTTTATTTACATTTTTAATCATGTTTCAATTTGATATATCGTAGAACTAGTTGTTCACAACTGTTTAAGCTAGCTTAAAAAGTTTAGTTATAATTACAAGTGCAAGTTGCCAAGTTATATACATAAATACAGTATTAGTCTGTAGGACCCTTACTGCAGAGCCTAAAATCCTTCAGGACTTCTGTCCTCCAAGGGTTTAACGCTAATGTCTCTTTAATTGTACCCCGCAGCTCTTGAACATGCAGCCTTTCTTGACCTGCAGTCAACATTTTTTCTCTCTCTCTTTCTTCATATTCCTCCTCTTTCCATACAGAAATACAAGATGAAAGTCCCTGCATAATGTATAAGTAATGCATTACACAATGGAATGTTTGCTAATATTAATAAAGAAAGAAGCCATGCTACAATTTTATGTGTCGTTCAGTCGTGAACGTTGCTGATTTGGTAAATGCGTAAATGATTTATATTCCAGCCTTTCTCGACATTAAATAAGGTATGAGAGGTTATGCTACATTGTGTTAAGTGTGCTCTGAATCGCAGGTAAACGAGGATTCGTGCAGTCATGTGTTGTTTCATCTTTATGCCATGTTTTCAGCAGATGGCAGCAGATTTCCTTTCTGGGGAACGGGGAACTGTCCGTGGTGCTGAAAGCCTATCGCACTGGTGCAGTGCTGCAACAGGAGTCATGGCGTGTAAAATATTACCATAAATCTAATAATCTTCAAGATGTTTATAAGATTCAGAATAACATAACAAAGGCATGGTAAATCACTCGCCTCAGTTTTACAGACAGCATATAATTATGAATGCATTCTTGTAAACAATAAATACATTATGTATATTCATTTATTACAGCCCTTTATGTTCAAATGTATTTTACATATCTGAAATGAACAAATTTACTATAAATAATATTTATACTATAGAATCATATTTATATCATATACATACATTCAAATATATTATAATCATATTTAAATATTCTTAAATTCGTTTTAAATTCATAATATCAAACCATGGCATTGTAAATCCTGCCTGCCTCACCTGCCTCAAGTTCATAGTCAGCATGTTAAGGAATGCATAATTGCAAACAATAAATACATAATTTTTAAATTCATTTAGCATAGCCCTATTTTAATGTACTTTGAAATATACAAATATATCATAAATGTGATATTAAAATATTCTAAAGTACGTGATATACTTTATATTTTTATTTGTAATATTTCCATGTAAAAGACTTTTGTTATGTACAGTATATGTGGGTTTGTTTTAGGTTATTTCAGGCAAACATAAAGAAATGACATAAAATATCAATTACAATACTTTTGTAATACATTGTAATTATTCACCACACGAGTGACATGCTATGAAAATTATTTTTTTATCATATTCTCATTCTTCTTTAATTCCAACAAGTCGACTTATAAAAATAGTTGTTTTTTTCTACGGTTTAAAATGTACTATTTAAAGTTGCAAAGGAAATAACGATTATTCAAGTACATTTCACAAAACATTTGATTATCTTTCTGTATTTAGCTTTTAAGAGAATCAGCATTTAATTGGTTACTTTACGTTACTGTTCTTTACTAATAGTGTAATTTCGTAGGTTCTGAGTAAAAATTGTTTCTACTTTAATTTTATTTTCAGTGTAAGTTTTTATGTCAAACTTTTATTGTTTTTTTTTCAGTAATGAGATTTAAAAATGTATTACTGCAACAACAACAACAACAACAAAAACAACAAAAAAGTTTTGGAGGGGTGAGGAGGGGAAATCGATTTTCAAATAACATTCGTTGGCAATGTGCCTTTGTCAGCAAAACAGGCAACCAGAAACAATTTCATAGATACAATCGCGTAGTGAATCTATGTGCGCAACATCCTTAACAGCAAATGCTGAACATCTCAAAACATACTGTGCCAGAACAGCTCATTATTCAAAAGGACAACTTTGTCCTGTCTGTTTTAAAGCTTGCACGGCTTCTCTGCAAAGTGCACGCGCCTCACTCCGCCATCTCTGACGCACTTAGCACGACTCGTATAAATGAATTGACTTCGTCACTGAGCGCCAATGATCGCAGCTCGAGCGCGCGGCACTTCCTGAGCCCGGAGCCCGCCATGCGTCTTCAGAGCAGCGAGGTGACCGGCGCGAGGAGCTGCTTCTGACTCACCATGGAGAGCTACAACAACACCACAGAAAGCCAAGATTGGAGCGGGAACGCGACGAGTGTCAGCGAAGTTGCTCTGAGTTACCAAATCATCGGCTCGCTTTTCCTGGCCGCGTTAATTCTGTTTGCCATTTTGGGAAACGCGTGTGTCATCGCTGCTATCGCCTTGGAGAGATCGCTTCAGAATGTGGCCAACTATCTCATCGGCTCCCTGGCCGTTACAGACCTTATGGTGTCGGTGCTGGTGCTCCCCATGGCAGCCCTGTATCAGGTTTTGAATAAATGGACTTTGGGACAGGAGATGTGCGATATTTTCATCTCTCTAGACGTGCTGTGCTGCACTTCTTCCATCCTGCACCTGTGCGCAATCGCTTTGGATAGGTACTGGGCCATCACCGATCCCATAGACTACGTGAATAAAAGGACGCCCAGACGAGCTGCTATCTTGATCAGTCTCACTTGGCTAATAGGATTTTCCATTTCCATTCCGCCCATGTTGGGTTGGAGGAAACCGGAGGACCGGGCAGATCCCGACGCGTGCACAATCAGCCAGGACCACGGGTACACCATCTACTCAACTTTCGGGGCGTTCTACATCCCGCTCATCCTCATGCTGGTCCTTTACGGACGGATATTCCGAGCGGCGAGGTTTCGCATAAGGAAAACGGTAAAGAAAACGGAGAAAGCGAAAATCGCGGATAAATGCTTGGCGGTGTCTCCAGCGCTCTTCCCGAGGAAAGCGAACGGAGAGGTGGGTAAAACTTGGAGGCGAAGCGTGGAGCCGTGCGCAAACGGCGCGCTGAAAAACTCGGACGACGGAGAGTCGTTCGAGATTACAGAAGTTCAAAGCATCTCCAAAAATCACCTGAGCCTGCCAAACAACCCTCAGCCGTGCTTCGAGAACCGAAATGAGAAAAACACGGAAGCGAAGCGCAAAGTGGCTCTGGCCAGAGAACGCAAAACAGTCAAGACTCTGGGAATAATCATGGGCACGTTTATTTTCTGCTGGCTGCCCTTCTTCATCGTAGCGCTCGTGTTGCCTTTTTGTCAGGACTGTTTTATGCCCGAATGGTTGGGCGCTGTCATAAACTGGCTCGGATACTCCAACTCACTTTTGAATCCTGTCATATATGCGTACTTCAATAAAGACTTTCAGAACGCATTCAAGAAGATTTTGAAATGCAAATGTATTAGACAGTGAACCAAGTCAATCAGCGGGTGTTCATGTGCAGATATTGATTGTTAAAGATTGCTCTAAAGGCATTTACAAAGATGGGACTCAGAGCAGAGCAGAGCAGCACAAGAGGAGGTAGCGCTCTGTCCTTGTGTCTTTGTTTATCTGTGAAGTTTATCTGCTTCCATCACATAACAATGTGCATATACCATTGGATGGATTCAGATTAGACCAGAACTCTCAGACCAGCTGCGATCGCGCATTCAACAATAAAGCCCTTAAATAAACAAACAAAAAAATTGTTTTAATGTACAGGACGAAAGGCACCTTTCTCCGAGCAAGGAGCTGTTGGTGGGATTGTAAGCACACAAAGACAGAGTTCCAGCAGATAATCTATGTAGAGAAAATGTAATGTGAACTCATTAATCTTCATTTTTATTTATTTTCAGCAGAGATTTCTTATATGACATGGACTGACTGGAATACCTTGAAATAAAAGATGAATCTAGATCACAAAAATTGACTGAATCATTGGATTTGGGGTGGGAACTTTAATTCTCATTGCGTG